GGCATAGCTGGTGAAGCTGCCACCTGCACTGCCGGCATCCCATATGGTTGCCAGTTCGAGTCCTGGCTGCTCCACTTCCGATCCAGCTCTCTGCTATGGCCTGGGAGCAGTGGAAGATGGCCCAAGTCCTTGTGCCCCTACACTCATGTGGGAGACCTGGAGGAAGCTCCTGGCTCCTGGCTTCGGATTAGCTCAGTTTTGGCCATTGCAGCCAACTGGGGAGTGAACCAGTGGATGGAAGACCTCTCTCTCTCTCACTCAATCTCTCTCTCCCTCTGCCTTTCCTTCTCTCTGTAACTCTGACTTTCAAATAAATAAATAAATTAAAAAAGAGTATCTCAAAAGATTAGAAGAAGGAAGTTCAAGAGCATCTCAGATTGCACAATGTTTTTGTTTGATTGCTTGGATTGGTAATGGTTCTGAGAGAAGAGAACAGCTCTTAAAACACTTTCAATAACACACAAAAAGTGCCCAAATCACTGGTGCGCAGCTCAGTGAACAACCTTGTGCAATCAGCACCCAGATCAGAAAAGAAAGCATTAACAGTATCCAGACATCTCTACTCCCTGCAGGCACAAACTACCTTCCCATCAGTGACTTTTTAAAAAAATATTTATTTATTTGTTTGAAAGGCAGAGTTACAAAGAGAGACGGAGAGACAGAGAGAGAGGTCTTCCATCTGCGGGTTCACTTCCAAAATGGCAGCAATGGCTGGGGCTGGGCAAAGCCAAAGCCAGGAGCCAGGAGCTTCTTCTGGGTCTCCCACATGGGTGCAGGGGCCCAAGGACTTGGGCCATCTTCTACTGCTTTCCCAGGCCATAGCAGAGAGCTGGATCAGAAGTGGAGCAGCTGGGTCTCAAATCAGCGGCCATATGGGATGCCGGCGCTTCAGGGCAGGGCATTAACCCGCTGCACCACAACGCCAGCCCCATGCCCTTGTTTTAAAATTAGTGTTTTGTATTGATGGTAATTCTTTTTATAGCAATGGAATTTGTTTTATCTGACACCTAAATAAAGTCTTAATTTAATCTCAAAAAGATTGTTTTACTTATTTACATTAAAGATTTATTCATTTTACTGTTTTAAACTGTATTTAATAATTAAGAATTTTTTAAAGTTCATATTTATTTTCATCTACTTGAAAGGCAAAGAGAGAGAGGAGAGAGACAGAGACAGAGAGGGAGAGAGAATCTTCCATCGGCTGGCTCACTTCCCAAGTGCCTGCAACAGCTGAAGCTGGGCCAGGTTGGAGTTAGTTAGCCTAGAAACCCATCTGGGCTTCCTCTGGGGGTGCAGGGGCTCAAGCACTGGAGCCATCGTCTGCTGCCTCCCGGGATGCATTAGCAGGAAGCTGGTTTGAGAGCGTAATAACCGGGACTGGAACCAGCACTCTGATATGCAGGCATTCCAAGCGTCAGTGTAACCCACTGCACCACAAAACCCACCCAAAATAATTAAACATTTATGTGACACTAACCTATGTAAAGAATATAGTTATATAGGGCGGGCGCCATGGCTCACTTGGTTAATCCTCCGCCTGCGGCGCCGGCATCTCATATGGGCACTGGGTTCTGGTCCCGGTTGCTCCTCTTCCAGTCCAGCTCTCTGCTGTGGCTCGGGAAGGCAGTGGAGGATGGCCCAAGTGCTTGGGCCCCTGCACCTGCATGGGAGACCAGGAGGAAGCACCTGGCTCCTGGCTTCGGATGGGTGCAGCGCCAGCCATGGCAGCCACTTTGGGGGGGTGACCCAATGGAAGGAAGACCTTTCTCTCTGTCTCTGTCTCTCACTGTTTAACTCTGCCTATCAAATAAAGAAAAAAAATATAGTTATATATGTATATATTTAAGTGCATAGATTTTCACAGTTTGTTATCAAACAATAATGCGAGTTTATATTGAAGTCTCTAGTTTGAAGGACCTGTCATTCGCCAGTGACACTCTTTGCTTTTGGGTGGATTACTTAACTCGTGAGTTTCATTTTTATCATCTTAAATCGTAGTAACTCCTAATTCACAGGGTGAATGAGACTTCTTTTGATGAATATACAGACAAATGTGTTTTTAATCAATTTTTCAATAAATCATAAAGACCTCAAGGTTAAGATCTATATCAATTTACCACAAATATTTTGCAGCATGTAAATGATTCAGTCTCACTTATAATGTTCTTATAATATTACGACTTGGATAGCATATTATGTCCTTTTTATAGATGAGGAAGCTGGGTCCTTACATTTTAAAAAGGTTTTGATAGCTAGAAAATAAGAAACAGTCTTTTTTTTTTTTTTTTTTTTTTTTTTGACAGGCAGAGTGGACAGTGAGAGAGACAGAGAGAGAAAGGTCTTCCTTTGCCGTTGGTTCACCCTCCAATGGCCGCCGCTGCAGCCGGCGCACCGCGCTGATCCGATGGCAGGAGCCAGGATCCAGGTGCTTTTCCTGGTCTCCCATGGGGTGCAGGGCCCAAGCACCTGGGCCATCCTCCACTGCACTCCCTGGCCATAGCAGAGAGCTGGCCTGAAAGAGGGGCAACCGGGACAGAATCCGGCGCCCCAACCGGGACTAGAACCCGGTGTGCCGGCGCCGCAAGGTGGAGGATTAGCCTATTGAGCCACGGCGCCGGCCAGAAACAGTCTTATAGTAACAGCTCAATGAGGGGAGGTAGCCCGTCTGGTGGTTAGGCCAATGACACAACAGGGCATCCAGGTGGGGCACCTGTGTCCTGCATCAGAGTCTCTGGGTTCAATTCCCAGCTCCACTCCTGGCAGCAGTTGATGCTCAAGTAATTGGGCTCCTATTACCCAATGGGAGACCTGGATTGAGTTCTTGGATCTTGGCTTTGGCCTGGATCAGTCCCAGTCATTCCTGGTGTCTGGGGAGTGAATCAGTGAACAGGAGAGCTCCCTCTCTCTCCCTCTCTCCCCTCCCTCTCTCCCCTCTCTCCTGTATCTCTCTCTGTCTTTCTTCTCCTTCTTCCTCTTCCTCCTTCCCTTTCCCCTTCCCTTCTCCCTCTCCCTTTCTTCCTCTTCTTAAATAAACAAAAGTTACAGGAAAAAGATAACATTCCTTCATCCCTCTTTTTTTCATATTTCAAATATCAATAGTTATCCCACAAATTTCCTGTGGTTTTTGTTAGAATTAAAATACCATAATGGTCACTAATGAATTTGAAGGGGTAATTGTGCTCCAAAGAGCCACCAATAACTCTCACACATGCAGCTCATCATCAATTCTCTGTTCCTTGGAAGAACGTTGTAAGGAATTTCACCCACCTAAGGTAGTAGACTATTCAAATGTCTTCCTAAGAAGATGACAGAAGTTATTTGTTAAAATAATTGGAATTTTTCTTGCAATGTTGGCAATGAGGAAGCAAATGCGGCCTGGATGAAAGACTGATGCTGAACATTCTCTTTTGGATTCCTTGCCATCTACTGCCCCGGGTGCTATGTTACTCTCTCAGTCACCCAACCCTCTCTCTGTTGATCACTTCCCTTCACTTTAAAAGCCCTGAGTCCTATGTACTGGTAAGGTTCAGTGAATACAGAGCTAAGTATGATACTGTCTAGCTCTTAGGGAGCTGGTAATCTAGCCAAGGAGATGCACAGATAAATGGATTATGGCAATTCAGTATGTTAAGTGCAATAGTCTGGACAAGGCACTGTGTAGCACCCAGAGCAAGACCACCTGACCATGCTAGGTTAGGAGCTCATGGGAGAAATCTTGCTGGGTACCATAGCACAGAGGCAGGATTTACACCTGGGAGACAGGTGAGTCTTTTCAAGGGCAGTGTGTCGAATGAGATCAGTGAGCTGTGAACAGAGCCTGGGAGAAAGACAACTTGGAAGGAGTGAGCTGAGGAAGAAGAAAACAAAAGGGAGTTTTGGAGAGGATATTCAGAGAGTTACGGGAGAGACATGAAATCCAGCTCAACTATGTGGCGTTCGAAGAACGGCAAGAATGATGCCTGGACTTGGCTTGTGGTGGCTGCCAGTGTACTTTACTGTGAAACCAGAGAAGCAGGTCATGCAGAAACTCAAGTTTACACAGGTGGATCCTGTCATCCACGCTCAGAACCAGTCCTATGCAATAGGCTCATGTCTGCTTGTTCTATGGCACCAAATGTTCTTTCTAAGATTTTTGTCCATGGTTTAGAGTGCTTGACTATTTCTCTCTTGAGATTGGGCCAATGTTAAAGCCATGACCAAAACCCATTCTTTTTTTGTTTTAATATTTAATTATTTATTTGATTATTAAATATTATTTAATATTTAATTATTTATTTGAGAGGTAGAGTTACAAACAGTGAGAGGAAGAGACAGAGAGAAAGGTCTTCCTTCCGTTGGTTCACTCCCCAGATGGTCACAACAGCCAGAGCTGCGCTGATCTGAAGCCAGAGCCAGGAGCTTCTTCCTGGTCTCCCACGTGGGTGTAGGGGCCCAAGGACTTGGGCCATCTTCCACTGCTTTCCCAAGCCATAGCAGAGAGCTGGATTAGAAGAGGAGCAGCTGGGACTTGAACCGGCACCCATATGGGATGCCGGCGCCACAGGCGGAGGATTAACCTAATGTGTCATGGCGCCGGCCCCCACAGCCCATTCTTAAGTCTTGAGTTTCTGAGCATAGGGTGGTCAAGAGAGAAAGTCACAACTTTAATACCCAGACTGCCTACCTCAAAGGAGAGTTGCATAGGGAATTCCAGAACTGACGCTGATTTAGGAAATCTCCTGTGCATGCATTTTGCAAAAGGAGCATTTCTGTTGTGGACGTCTGCACTCAGGCAGAACATTTTTCGGTTTCCTTTTATATTCAAACTGCCATGCTTCTTTGGATGCTTAATGGGAAGCAGTGACTCCCATCTCCCTCCACAGAACACAAGGCTGTTCACTGCTGTTAATTCCACACACAACACAGAGGAGGAGTAAATCCATGCTTGCTGAATGATTGTGTGGGTCATTAACCTACAGCAACTCAACAGCTAAAAGTAATCCCATGTCTTTACTTTCCAGTATATTGCATACCTGAAGGAGAGCACAGAGAAATGGAGGAATAGACAGGAAGCCCTCAGGCATAACGCCAGTAGCCTCTCCTGGCAACTGATAGTTCAGCAGAGTAAGTAATGAGCCATGGGTACTCTTTACACATATTTTTATTTTGCTTAAATCAATTTTATTGGCTTGCACACAATAAAATGCACATACTTTAAGCTCCATGAGATTTGACAAATGTACACACCACTTAAACCACTACAGTTACCGGAAAGATCTAGAACATTTTTGTCATTGCAGAATTCACCCCATGTCCCTTCACAGGCCATTTCCTCGTCACCCACCTCTAGTTCGTGAAAACCATTGATCTGCTGTCGACCCCTAATGGTCAGATAAAAGAGGTAATGGAGTATGCACGCTCCTCAGCTCAGCTTCATGCACTCAGCAAAACGTTTTTGCAGATCCGTCTGTGTTGGTGCCTGTGTCGCCAGTTAGTGTTCTTTTCCACAGCAGTGTTCTATGGTGTGGAAAGACCATATTTTCTTTATCCATTCTCTGGCTGAATGGCATTTGGATTATCTCCAACTTGGAGTTATTATAAGAGAAGCTATTGGGAATATTTGTTTACAAACATTTTGGTGGATATGTTTTCATTTCTTTTGAGTAAATACCTAGGAGCAGAATTGCTGGGTTATATGGTTAGTGTAAGATTATATGGTTTGCGTATGATTAACTTTGTAATCATACTAAGCAATTCACCAAAATAGTTGTACAACATAGTTTCTTATCCTACTAGCAATGTAGAAGAGTTCTCATGGTTTAATATCCTCACCAACACTTAAGGTTTTTAACATATGAAGAGTGCTAACATTTTAACTATTTAAATAAGAATGGAGTGGTAATTCATTGTGGTTTCTGTTTGCATTTCTCTGATGTATGATGTGGTCAACTGTATTTTCATTGTTTTTTTTTTTTTTTTTTAAAGATTTATTTATTTATTTGAAAGCCAGAGTTATAAGGAGAGGAGAGGCAGAGAGAGAGAGAGGGAGAGAGAAGTGTTCCATTTGCTCCCCAGTTGGCCAAAACAGCCAGAGCTGTGCTGATCGGGAGCCAGGAGCTTCTTCCTGATCTCCCATGAGGGTACAGGGACCCAAGGACTTGGGCCATCCTCTACTGCTTTCCCAAGCCACGGCAGAGAGCTGGATCAGAAGTGGAGCAGCCGGGACTTGAACTGGCGCCCATATGGGATGCTGGCACTGAAGGCGGCAGCTTTACCTGATATACCAGTGTTGGCCCCTTCATTGGGTTTTCTTTTTTTATTTGCTGGTTGTTTACCATATCTTTGTGAAGCTCCTGGAATCAGTTGTCTATTGCAGGGTAACAAATACCACAAACACGGTGGCTTCAGACAAATCATTTACTGTGCTCACAAGTTGACAATTTGATCCGAGTTTGGTGGCGACAACTTGTGTCTGCTCCTATAGGGTCACCTGGGGTGACTGGGAGACTGGGGCTAATTCCACAGCTGGGAACTGGAATCATTGGAAGACCCACTCTCTCAAGTGCATGGAGGTGATGCTGGCTCTGAGCTGCATCCCGTGGGGGCTGTGGAAGGAACAGCTCTCCCCGGCCTCTCTCAGGAGCTGCTTGGCCTGCTGAGTTCCAAAAGCAGGCATCCCAAGAGAACAAAATGCAAGTTCATGGCATTTTTATGGGCAAGCCTCAGACGTCAGACTGCTGCTTCCCGAATGCTCTGACAGTCGAGGCAGCTGCCCAGGTACAAGGGGAGGGCGTGTAGACAGGAGCACTCAGTGGGAGCGATGTCAGCAGCGAGCTGGGGAAAGAGCACACGTAATACACTATGGGGTGCTTCAAAGAGTGCCTGGAAAATGGGATTCAAAGGGAAGTTTGTTTTGGTGCAAAAAATCTTTGAAACCCATGTGTATAAAGGATTTTCATGAAACTCATGGAAATGCATGTTATGAAAAAACCATACATGGATTTCAAAAACTTTTTGCACCAAAATGAACTTTCAATTTCATTTTCCACAAACTTTTTGAAGCACATGCATGTATCCTAGGGCTCTGTAGAAAATACAGTCTGCCAGAGCTCTCCAAATCTGGTGCTCCTTAGTTCATGCTGTGTTCTTACTGTTATCTTCACATGTTCTGAACATAGGCCCTTTTCAGACTGAGGCTTGACATTCCATTTCCTTAGTGGTGGCCCAGAGAGCAAACAGTTTTCCTTTGGGTGAACTGTACTTTATTTTGTCTTTTAAGATCAATACTTGGGGCTGGCTCTGTGACATAGCAGATTAAGCTGTCGCCTGCAGTGTTGCCATCCCATTCGGGTGCCAGTTTCAGTCCCAGCTGCTCCACTTCTGATCCAGCTCCCTGCTAACGCACCTGGGAAAGCAGCAGAGGATGGCCCAAGTCCTTGGGTTTCTGCAACCACCTGGGAGACCCGGAGGAAGCTCCTGGCTCCTGATTCTTGGCTTTTGGCCATTTGGGAGTGAACCAGCACATGGAAGACCTCTCTCTCTGTCTCTCTCCTTCTCTCTCTGTAACTCTGTCTCTCAAATACATAAATAAATAAATCATTGAAAAACAAAAAAGAGCACATGAGCTCTCAAGTGAAAGTATAATATGGCTGAGGAGTATGACTGCCAAAAAAAAAAAAAAAAAGACAGGAAATATCACAACACCACAGCAACCACCCCTGATGCAAAATTACTGGAACACTCAGACCCAAAAAATTTTTTTTAAAAACGATCAGTACTTTCTGTGTTCTGCCTAAAACATTTTTGCCTGTTCCAAGGCTTTGAAGGTGCTTCCCTGTAACTTTTTGAGTTTTAGCTTTTATGACTAGATCTCTGGTTATTTCATATGAACTTTTTCATATGGTGTGAGGTAAGGGCTGAACTTCATTGTTTCCTCTTATGCATATTCAGTTGTTCCCAGCGGCATTTTTAAAAAATATTCATTTATTTATTTGAAAGGCAACAGAGACAGAGACAGAGAAGGAGAGAGAGAGAGATCCTTCATCTGCTGGTTAACCCCTCAAGTGGAAGCGATGGCTGGGGCTGGGCCAGGCTGAAGACAGGAGCCAGGTGCTTCTTCCAGGTCTCCCATGTGGGTGCAGGGACCCAAGCACTTGGACCATCTTCCACTGCTTTCCTAGGTGCATTAGCACAGAGCTGGATCAGAAGTAGAGCAACTGGGACTTGAACCGGTGCCTGTATGGGATGCCAGCACTGCAGGTGGTGGCTTAACCTGACCGGACCCCCTCTGCCAACAGCATTTTTGACAAAACTATTCTTTTTGCCACTACCCCTGCAACATTCTGAAAACCATTTTTTTTGAGTCTGTTATTTTATTGTAAATGTCTTAACTTAATACCAGTATGACACAGTCCTGATTACTGTAGCTTCATATACAGTTGGGAAATCAGGTAATTTAACTTTGATATCTTTGAGCATCTTTTAAAAATTGTTTCAGATATTCCAAGTACTTTGATTTACATATAAATTTTAGAATCAGCTTGTTAATCTACACACACACACACACACACACAGGCCTACTGGGATGTTAATTGGTTTTGTGTTGAATCTACAAATCAATTTTGGAAGAATTGCCATCTTAACAAATTTAAATCTTCTAATTCAAAACGTATTATATGAAGGATCTTCAAAAAGTTCCTAAAAATACACTTTGTGAAAAGCTATGTATGAATTTCAGTTTTTCACATCAAAATAAATATCATTTAATTCATTTTCCTTCAACTTTTCAAAGTGCCCTCACTATTGTCATTTATTGAGGTCTTTTAAAATTTCTCTCAGCAAGATTTTGCAGCCTTAATGTAGTATCAGGTGTCCCAGGACCAGCCTCAGGTGTGGTGATGAGCTGGGAAGCACAGAGGATACAGAGGTTGTACTCACGGGTGTTTTGGTTATGGTGAAATCAACAAAGGGAAACCCATGGAGGGAGAGCGTGGAGGCTCAAGGGAGCAAGCTTTTAGGCTTCCTGTCCCAGTGGAGTCACCCAGAGGCACTTGATTTCGCTGCAATAGGCTGTGACCACACACGCACAGGGCTGCCAGTGGGGAGGTCCTACCCCCAGGCTGGGTGTCCAGGTGCATTCTGGGGGTCAGTGCCTAAGGCGTGCAGTGCTCGTTTGCCTGGCCTCTGCTGCCTGCTGAGACACTTGATGCAGTCCCCCCAGATGCTGTCAGTGTGACCGATTGCATCCCGAATATCCATAAAACCCATGTGCACAAATCTGTTACTGAGTTCAATTTGCTAATCTCTATGCAGATGTTTGTGTCTGGGTGCAAGACTCCATTGTCCACCCTGTGGCCTGGAGAGGGCCCCCCAGCGGCGATAACTGGAGACAGTGGGGTTCCCCTCCTGGTCCCCTTCTTTCAGGTGTCGCGGTCCTGTGTTGCTCTCTCCCCAACATCTGAAAACATTGGTTTCACATCTTTCGCCCCCTTGTCTGTGTGTTTGCAGAGGGAGCACAAGTCCGATCTAGTTGTCCTTTTATTTTGGGAGCAGAAACTTTTAAAGAATTTTTGAAAGATAAAGACCAATATCGACAGTTTTATAGAAATATCCGGGGTATTTCAGTAATCACGGTATTTCTTTAATCCTTATTTTAGCATATTATATGGATTTGTGGGCTGACTTTCATACCATGGTTAAGGTGAGTATTTTTGTGTGCTGCCTCCATAAGTATGGCATTTTAAAAAATGTTCTCTTATATGATGTGTGTGTGGGTTGTGTGTGTGTGCACGTGCACACGTGTGCGCCAGAGTGGGAGTTCAGGATCTCAGAGGAACGACAGAGCTGGTGTGACCATTGCACCTGAAAATGTGTCCCTTGCTCCAAAGACCCCTATGAAATTTTAATCCTTTGAGAACCTGTCTTCCTATCTGCCACTCAGTTAAAGAGGGAAACACTTTTCTTTTTTCTTTCTTCCTCCTTTTTTTTTTTCTTTTGGGCCAGCTCAAATGGAATCACATTTTGTTTTAGGATGAAGTTGTGGATTCTGAACTCCCTCCATCATCATGTTTATAAGACAGATTTCCTTTTCTTTTCTTTTCTTTAAAGATTTATTTATTTATTTGAAGGTCAGAGTTATACAGAGAGAGGAGAGGCAGAGAGAGAGAGGTCTTTCATCCGCTGGTTCACTCCCCAGTTGGCCACAATGGCTGGAGCTGTGCCGATCTGAAGCCAGGAGCCAGGAGCTTCTTCCAGGTCTCCCACATGGGTGCAGGGCCCCCATCTTCCAGTGATTTCCCAGGCCACAGCAGAGAGCTGGATCTGAAGTGGAGCAGCTGGGACCGAACCGGCACCCATGGGGCCACAGTGCCGGCCTCAAGAGAGATTTCTTTGAGATGAAGCTATTTGAGGCTCAGAGAGTATGAGCAATTTCCCTATACTAGATACTCAATGAACTTGTGGGGATTTATTTAGTTATTTATTGTAATTACTTTTTAAAGGATTGAATGTGCTTTGTAGATACAGTTCCTTTTTTTTCAAGATTTATTTATTTATTTATTTGAAGGTCAGAGTTACACACAGAGAGAAGGAGAGGGAGAGAGAGATGATGATTCACTGCCCAAGATGACTGTAAGGGCTGGAGCTGTGCCGATCTGAAGCCAGGAGCCAGGCGCTTCCTCCGGACCCCCAACGCAGGTGCAGGAGCCCAAGGACTTGGACCATCTTCTACTGCTTTCCCAGGCCTCAGCAGAGAGCTGGACTGGAAGAGGAACAGATGGGACTAGAACCGGCACCCATATGGGATGCTGGCACTGCAGGCAGCGGCTTTACCTGTTGCGCCACAGTGCAGGTCCTGCAGACACAGTTCTAAGAATGCAATGATATTCCCTTCCTCTCCTTTCCCTCCCTCCACTTCTCTTCCTCCCACTCTATTCCTTATCCCTTTCTTTTTTTTTAATTTTTGAGGTAACAGAACTTAAATTTACATTGCAGTGAAAAGACTTAATACTTAACCAGATAAGAAGTTTAACAAGTAAAAAACAAAAAGAGCCTAGTTTACTGGGAATGTAGAGAAGGGCTGTAAACAATAATTGAGTGGAAGAACATCCATTTCATTGAACTTATGGGAACTTAAAGCTCAGAGCCTACCTGACTCCCAAGTTCTTTCTCTTACGCCGAGTCTCCTTTGCAGTTTTATGCTGCTCTGAGGGTGAGCTGGCTCTTTATGCCACCACTCCCCACTGCCTCTTGCAGCTAAAACGGTGAGGCCAGTGAGCATTGCATTGAATCTTTTCATTCGATAATCTGTTTCTATGAGATCGCTTACAGAACTTTATGAATTAGCAACTTTACACACATCCTTATTGGCATAACTGATCCTATTTGCATATCTAATATTTTTGTTTGGGGCATGATCCACTCAGAATCTGTTTATATTTTGTTGCAATTTGTATTCATGCATCCAAATATGCCATCTCTTTAAGGACTTGGTGTGCACCAGTGAAGAGACCTTGCAAGAAATAAAAAATCTAATAGATGAGCTGTATGAAAGGGATGAAAAAATCGCAAGTGTCAGTACTTGGCTCCAAGGGAACCTTGAAGAGCTGCGTTCTCTCATGAAGCATGAATCATCACTGGACCTGCATTGCAAGTATATGACTCAGCTTTTCACCACTGAAATGAAATACCCGAGGAAACTATAAGGAAACATGGGCTTATTGAGATTACAGCTTTGGAATGTCAAGTCCAAGATCGGGCAACCCTGTGGGTTTGGTATCTGATGTTAGTTGGCAACAGTGAGCATGTGTGGAGCAACAATCAGGTGGTGAGGTCATGCTTTTCTAACAGTGCTTTCACAAGAATGACCTTCTGAGGGACACTCAGTGACCCAAGGACCTCTCATGAGCTCCCACCTCCTACACCATAATTGGATTCAGCTTCCACTCTCCTAGTGCCATTAACTTCTTTTAAGATTTTTTTAAGATTTGTTATTTTATTTATTTGAAAGGCTGAGTTAGAGGGAGACATAGAGAGAAGGAGGGAAAGAGAGAGAGAGAGAGAGAGATCTTTCATTCATTGGTTCAGTCCCCAAATGGCAGCTTATAGCTAGAGCTGGGCTGATCCGAAGCAGGAACCAGGAACCTTCTCTGGGTCCTCAACGCGGGTGCAGGGACCCAAGCACTTGGGTCATCTTCTATTGCTTTCCCAGGCTATAGCAGAGAGCTGGATCAGAAGAGGAGCAGCTGGGACTCGAACTAGCATCCACATAGGATGCCAGCACTGCAGACGGTGACTTTACCTGCTGCACCACAGCGCCGGCTCCAGTACCCTTAACTTTTTTTTTTTTAAATTAATTAATTTATTTGAAAGAGTTACACAGAGCGAGAAAGAGAGGTGGAGAGAGAGAGAGAGAGAGAGAGAGAGAAAGAGAGGTCTTTCATCCACTGGTTCACTCCCCAATTGGCTGCAATGGCCTGAGCTGCGCCAATTCAAGACCAAGAGCCAGGAGCTTCCTCTGGGTCTTCCCATGCAGGTGTAGGGGCCCAAGGACTTGGGCCATCTTCTATTGCTTTCCCAGGCCATAACAGCGAGCTGGATTGGAAGTAGAGCAGCTGGAACTTGAACCAGCACCCATATAGGATGCTGGCACTGCAGGCAGCAGCTTTACCTGATACGCCACAGCGCCAGCCCCTCATTAACTTCTAACTTTGGGATTTGATATCCTGCATGAGTTTTGGAGTCAAGTCATAGTCAAACTATAGCATCCTGCCCCATGGCTCCCTGAAACTCACATCCTCCTTACATACACATACAATCTTCCCATCCTTAGTAGTTCCAAAGTCTTCTGTCCAGCACGAGATCAAAAATCCCAAGACCAGGGTCTCATTTGAGACTCAGGACAAACTCTTTCATTCATTAGTTCCTGTAAAACCAAAATATGTTACCTGCTTCCAAGATACAATGGCAGGACACAAATAGAAAATGAGAAATAGAGAAATAGAAAGGAAAAAAGTCACCCCAAAACAAGACAGAAGCCCAGCAGGGTGAACATCAAATACTAAGGCTCCGTGTCCAGCATCCTGGGCTCACTGTGGTGGTCGAGCCCCAATAGGGCCCTCCTCTATGGTTCTGTTGGTCTCTGCCCACGTGCCTGCTCTGGGACTGCATGCGAATGTCAATGGCTTTTAAGAGTCAGTGTTGCTTACTGCTGAATTCCTCTGCCTTCCTGGGGAATCCACCCTGGCTTCTTTCCCATAGCTTCACTAGGCATCACCGTATCAGGGGCTCGACACAGGGCTCCAACTCTGCAGTGCAGCTCTGCCTGCCCTCCTAGGACTTCCTCTGAAATCCTGGTAGCAGCTGCCATGGCTTCATAAATCATGCAAAACCAGCATCACATGGGCAACAGCATCATTTGCACCGAACCCATGGTTACAGCCCCAAATGCTTCACCAGCTAAGGTCGGGGAAGCACATCCACAGGTGATCTTGGCTGAACTCTTGCAAAGTGCTCCATGATCTCCTGGCATATTACGGCCGTTCCAGGCCTCTGGGCTTGTGATGCCCTTTGGGCAGCCACTTTCCCCACTGTCTTGCCCCTGGCACATGGTTCCCTTGAACCTGCACTAATCTCCTTAGCCAGCAGCTTCTCCACTCTACTTTACTGTCCAGAACAAACACTTCTTTCCTTCTCTGCTCAGGCTGTGAGTTGTCCAAATCCTTCCACCCTACAACTTTTTTCTCCTGATTTTCAGTGTGGAGCTAACGAAAGGTGGCCAGTAACACTCATGCTCAAGCTGTAGCTCAAATGCTGTGCTATTTTGAAATTTCTGCCAAATAAGTGGTGTATCACCTTTAAGCCTGGCTTTCCATGAATTCTTAGGTCATGGACAGGGCAAAGTCAGGTTTGTGCTCAACGTGACAAGAGCGCCCTCTAGTACAGACCCCAACAGAATCCTCATTTTCATCCAAAACCTCAACAGCATGCTTTTCACCATCTACCTGTCTATCAGCATTCTGGTAGTCTAAGTCCTCACTGTAACTGCCCAAGATGCTCTGATGATAGAATTCTAGGTTTTCTCCAGCCTGTTCTTCCAAACTTCCAGATTCTTCCTGTTAACCAATTTCAAAGGCACTTCGATGTCTTCAGGTATGGCTATCCTTACAGCCCTAATCCTAGTATCACCTTTCTGTATTAATCAACTCTTCTTCATTATATAATGAATACCTGACACAGTGTAACTCTGTAAAGGAAAGAGCTGTGTTTCTGTGCTTTGGCGCACAGTTCTGGAGGCTCACAGGCCAAGATCAAGTGGGTGCTATTGGTTCAGCCTCTCCTGATGGTATTCTCGCTGGCAGTCCCAAGGCAGTGCAGTGTCACGTGACAAAAGAGAGGTTACATACGTGTCTGTTTATGTACAAGTGGTCACTTATAAAACCACCAGGATTTAATCATGGGGCTCCATCCTAGTGATCCAAGACAGTCACTTTCTCAAGGTCCATGCCCAAACACCGCAACTGGATTAACTTTCCACTCGCTTAGTGCCATTGACATAAGGCTCTGTTGATATCAACAGGAGAAAAATGAAGTACCAGCTAAATGACTGAGCTACCCCTAATCACTCATCCCCATTAATGTTGCTAACGTTGGTTGAACATAGTAGTACAGAAGTGGTTGCCACTATAGTCTTCCACCAGAGAGAATTTTCTAGATAACTGAATCTTACCTTCTTTATCACTAAAAAATAGAAACTCATCATTTAAACACTTCCCAAATAAGCCTTCACATGCATCCTTGTCTTCTTAACAGAAGAAATTGGACACAACTTCACCTTCTCTTCCTGAGCTGAATTTAGCATGAAAACAGCAACTGTTTTCTTCCCTGAAAAACGGATAGCACATCCTCTATTTTCACACAGTTTGAGGATGATCTTATTAGTAATCTATGGAAAGCAGGCAATAGCAGTGTGGCAGCAAATGAAAACCACTCAGATGAGAACATGCAAAGGCCATTCATGCAGAGTTTGCTGCAGCAATGGAGTTAGCCACCGGTTGGTCCATTTATGCTGTTGTAAGAAGCTTCCATAAACTGAGTGGCTTGTAAATAATGGAAATTTATTTCTCACAGTTCTGTAGGCTGGGAAGTCAAGAGTGAGGCACCGGCAGCTTCAGGGTCTGTTAAGAATCCCCTGCCTGGGGTGGGAGCTGTGGTGTAGCAGGTAAAGCTGCTGCCTGGGGCGCAGGCATCCCATATGGGTGCTGGTTTCAGACCCAGCTGCTCCACTTTTAGTCCAGCTCCCTCCTGGTGCACCTGGAAAAGCAGTAGAGGATGGTCCAGGTGCTTAGGCCCCTGCCACCCACCTGGGAGACCTGGAGGAAGCTCCTGGCTCCCGGCTTCAGCCTGGCCCAGCCCTGGCCATTGTGGCCATCTGGAGAGTGAACCAGCAGATTGAAGGTCTATCTCTCCTTCCCTCCATTCCTCCCTCTCTCTCTCTCTCTCTCTCTCTCTCTGCAACTCTGCCTTACAAATAATGAATGAGTCTTTAAAAAAAAAATGCAGAGACATCCCCACCCCTTCCCCTCCCCCTCCCCACAATGAGAATCCCCTTCCTGGGTCACGATGGCACCTTCCTGCTGTGTCCACACAAAGCTACTGCTGCTCCCCGACTTCATCCCCTTCCAAGCTGCCAGCTGTTCACCAGGTCCTGCCTGTTCTTGGCCAGTGGCTGCAGTGGCTGTGGTGTGGGTCAGAGTCATTGTCCCATATGAGTTGGCTGCCCTCAACTTGTTTATTTGGTCTCTCAGCAGGGGATTTCAATGGGCACGATATCGATTAAGGGTCAAGTTTGTAGACCACTGGCCTCGGTCTCCTCTGATCAACATTTTTTCATAAAGCCATCATTTGCATAATGAAACGTCAGACCCTAAGAAAACAGACTGATGCGAACTGCAGTGACACTCTACTGGGACATGTTGGTTCTGCAGCCCCCCTCACGGTCTCAGCTGCTTCTCCCTGTCTTCCCGGATCAGGCATTAGGAAGACGCCTGCGTCCCACACCCGAGTACCTGGGTTCATTCGTGGGCTCCAGGTCCTGGCTGCAGCCTCCCGCCAATGCAGAGCCTGACAGGCAGTGGTGATGGCACAAGTACTGGGACCAGCTCTGGCCACTGTGGGTAGTTGGAGTGTGAACCAGCTGTCTCTGTACTCTGTATGGGAGCTGTCTCCCTACGTCTACCTGCCTGGCTCCCTCTACCTCTCAAATTAACTAATACAAATCTAAAAAACATGGTAAAGATTTGGGGGCAAATTTACTACAACCCCATAATAAACCAGCTCCCCTGTTGTGTTTGTAAACCCCAGAACTAATGGGTTTTATATTGCTTAACAGTCAGGTGAAAAAATCAACAGAATATTCCATGACATCATAACATTCAAACATCCATGACCAGAAAGAACTGTTTCATGGTAGCACAGCCGTGCTCATTCATGAACACACTATGAATGCTTGCGTTTGTGCTACAGCCTGAAATACTTCCTCTCTGACCCTACACAGCACAGTTTTCCAACCTTGAACTGGGGGCACGGGAGAGGTGCTGACAGTGACATCGTGTTCTCTGGCCACTCACAGAGAGAATGAGCCTTGTGGGCAGCCAGGCAAAGCTGAGGGCCCACGCAGGCTGAGACAGAAAGGATAAGGCTGACCCCTTGGTCCCACACCATGAGGAGTTGGTGCACAATGACCAATCTGGGAAAACTGAAAATGAAAATTGTCGCTTATATGAAAAATGTATGTTCTTACTGAAAATACATTTCCAGTCAGTAGATTGGTGATTTGACAAATTCCAAATCAAGAATCAGTCTGTGAGCTACTTCAGAAAGCTTGAGTCGGTACAGGCATTTGACCTAGCGGTTAGGATGCTGGTGAAGTTGCTGGCCCCTCACAGTGAAGTGCCTGGGTTCAACCCCTGGCTCCGCTCCTGATTCCAGCTTCCTGATAATGGACACCTGGGGGGCAGCAGTGATGGCTCAAGTGGTTGGGTCCCAGGCATCCATGTGGAGACCTGGATTGAGCTTCTGGATTCGGCCTTGGCCAGTGTGGAGTGAAACAGTAAGAAAGCCATCTTTCTCTCTTTCCCTCTGTGTGTGTGTCTCAAATAAATAAATAAATAACATTTTTAAAGTTCATGGAAAATGGAGCTATACAACACATTTATTTTGGTGCAAAAATATTTTGACATCCATCCCTAGTTTTTCCATAATCTGCATTTCCCTGACAGGAAGAACTAACCTGGCTAAGAGAGATCTCTGGACTGGAAACTGCGCAAGATCTCCGGCTTCCCACAGCCCTGTGCCTGTCTGACTGGCACAGTGTGGGCTCGGGAGTGAGGGGGACCCGAGGCTCCTACACCAGACGGAACCCCCGGCTCCTACACCAGACGGAATCCCCGCTCCCGCTTCCCCGTGGTGAAATGCTGGTGATAACAGCAGGTCCCCAGCACCAGCCCCATGCCTGGCCCTCTTCAGAGCCCTGCCACCTGCCACCCTCCTGGGAGGAAGGAGGAGTCTGAATGCTTGGCCACCTGTGAGCCACCGCTGTCTCCTGGCTTCCATGCGTCCTTCCTGGGCACTTCTGTAGCAGCCCCGGATCTCTTCAGCCAACCGCCCTCTGCTGTGCTGTCCTCCTGTGAACAGCGCAGTTAGCGCACACCTGCAGGCCTGCCCTTCACTAATGCAGCCAGCACCAGAGGGAGGGCCAGGCACCTGCAGCGTCGCCTTGACAAAGCTCAGTGGACACAGCCCCTAAACCTTAAAGCACACACCCTGTGAGAAACTGACGGTGCGGAGATGGGTAGAGTGGTTCCTAGTGGAGGGAAAGGCTCCAGTGTTTACTTAGTATTTATGTATGTGAAAGGCACAGCTCCAGAGCTCTTCTGTCTGCCGGTTCACTCCCCGGATGCCCACACAGCCAGATGCAAATTCCATCCGGTTTCCCCCGGGGGTGGCAGAAACCATTCTGGCCGTGGTTTGCTGCCCCCCAGGAAGCTGGGTCAGAAGCGCGGAGCAGCCGGGACTTGTGGAGCTTTAATTCACTGTGCTGCAAGGCCTGCCCCAAGCCTTTTCTTTTTATTTTGATTTATTTGAAAGAGTGAAAGAGAGAGGGCTCTTCTATCTGCTGATTCACTCCCCAACACCTGGCCCAGCTCTGGCTGAAACTGGGAGCCCAGGACTTCATTGGGTCAGGGACCCAAGTATTTGAGCCATTGCCTGCTGCTTCCCAGGGTGCACATTAGCAGGAAGCTGGAATGGGAAATGGGGCAGGGACTCAGACATGGGCACTCTCCCAGGGGGATGCAGGCATCCCCGGGGGCATCTTAACCACCGTGCCCAACAGCTGCCCCACAGCGCCCAGTCTGATTGGACACTGGGGTGCAAGGGTGTCTCCCGGGAGACACAGAAGACACAAGACCTGGCCCAGCACTGCACACAGCAAGGCTGAGTGGAGGTGTGGGGTGACAGCCCTGTTACACCTGCTCACCCAGAACACCCAAGTTGCTACTCTGCCTTAACTTTCCTTCTTGTGAACCAAAGGTAAATGTCAATTCTTGAAATATACCCAACCTAAATAGTAACTTAGATCAAATTACTTTTTAAGTATTTAAAAGAATTTTTTTTCAAAGGACAAAAGTAGTGATTGGACAAGTGTAGTGATTGTACCACATACTATGACTCAGGTTATTAACTGAGTATCTTAACTTAATATGTGCTGTACTGGCTGGCGTCGCGGCTCAATAGGCTAATCCTTGGCCTGCGGCGCCGGCACCCCGGGTTCTAGTCCTGGTTGGGGCGCCGGATTCTGTCCCAGTTGCTCCTCTTCCAGGCCAGCTCTCTGCTGTGGCCAGGGAGTGCAGTGGAGGATGGCTCAAATCCTTGGGCCCTGCACCCGCATGGGAGACCAGGAGAAGCACCTGGCTCCTGCCTTCGGATCAGTGTGATGCGCCAGCCGCAGCGCGGTGGGTGGGCTGCAGCGCACGGGCTGCAGCGGCCAATGGGGAGTGAACCAACGGCAAAGGAAGACCTTTCTCTCTGTCTCTCTCTCTCACTGTCCACTCTGCCTGTAAAAAAAAAAAAAAAAAAAAAGTGCTGTTCTGAAGACTTTTTTCTCTCTCACTGTCCACTCTGCCTGTCAAAAAAAAAAAAAAAGTGCTGTTCTGAAGACTTTTTCGAGAATGAGAGAAAGGGAGGGAGGGATTTTCCATCCTTTGGTTTGCTCCCCAAATGCCTGCAAGAGTAGGAACTGGGCCAAGGCTGAAGCCAGGTTCCCCACATAGGTAGCAGGAACCCCACCACTGCACCCCAGGATCTGCGCTGGCAGAAGCTGGAATTGGAAGGCAGAGCTGATTCTCCACCCAGGCACTCCAGTATGGTGTCCCAGCCAGCCACTTCATCACCTGGCCAAAGCCTTCCCCTGCAGGAGGCTTTTTTGGGACATGAGAGATTTGAAAAGATTTTTTTTTTAAATTCAAACTGTCAAAAGTTATCTTTTAGTGATCATGATGGAAAAGAATTTGATATAATTGCCTGCATTTTAATAGTTCTGAAAAAGAAACTACATAATAATTAAAGCATAATCCTTTTTCAGTGAGAAATAATAAAGTCATTTGCCCAGCGGTTGTCAGAAGGATCTTGGAAAAATTAAGGTCTGGACTAGTAGACTGTGGTGGAATGAGAAGGCCATGCCAAGGTGGCCACTGGCAAGCAAGCGTCAGTTACTCAGGAATGGCTTTGAAACCCACCTGGCTTTGGAAACTGCCTGGCAACAGGCTGTGATTGGTTGGGGCATAGACCGCCCCTTGACCAGATTGGCTGGTCTTGGCTATATAAGATGTGGTTCCAACTGTAATACATGAGTCTGCGGGCTGCTCGCCTCAAGCCTGCTTTCACCCGACTCCCGGGGTCTGTGTGGTGACTCCGTGCCTCTTGCCCCCACCACACTGCTCCTCTCAGAAATGAATCCACTGCAACATTGTTGAGAAATAAACAGCAACAGTAGACAGTTCGGAGCAGTGATCCTAACATCAGGATCACCTGCAGGTGCACCCCAGGCCAATTCATCAGGAGTCTCTGGGAGGTGAGACCCAGGCCTGTTTGTAAAAAATCTCTCCAACTGGCTCCAAAGTACGGCCAACTCTTGCAAACTGATGGTTTTAGACAAATATATAACAAGGCAAGTGCTAAAGTTCTCAATTGGCCCAAATTAACTAAGAAAATATTTTGACTTTGAAATTACCTGTGCAGGACTGGTTAGCAAAATAATGACCTCCACACCACAGCAAGTGAGAACCGTAATATAGTACAAGGACCTTAGTCAAACCTAACAGAACCGAGCTAGGACAGATGTTGTGTATTTTTTTTTTTTAAGATTTTATTTATTTATTCGAGAGGTAGAGTTACAAACAGTGAGACAGACAGAAAGGTCTTCCTTCCATTGGTTCACTCCCCAAATGGCCACAATGTCTGGAGCTGCGCCAATCTGAAGCCAGGAGCCATGTGCCTCCTCCCAATCTCCCATGTGGGTGCAGGGGCCCAAGGACTTGAGCCATCTTCCACTGCTTTCCTAGGCCACAGCAGAGAGCTGGATTGGAAGCGGAGCAGCCGGGACTAGAACTGGCACCCATATGGGATGCCAGCGCCACAGGTGGAGGATTAATCTACTGTGCCACGACGCCGGCCCCTCGTTGTGTATTTTTTAATGACTGTTTTAACAAATTATTTAGAACATTAGCATCTCTGGTGGCTATGAACTGTAGTAGTCCTGGTCTTATAAAAGCAAGTTAAAAGTGCAGATGCAGGGGCCTGTGCTGTGGTCTAGCATGTAAAGCCGCCACCTGCAGTGCTGGCATCCCATATGGGTGCCAGTTGGAATCCTGGCTGCCCCACTTCCAATCCAGCTCTCTGCTATGGCCTGGGAAAGCAAAAGAAGATGGCCCAAGTCCTTGCCCATCCCATCTGCATGGGAGACCTGGAACAAGCTCCTGGCTCCTGACTGGTTCAGCTCTAGCCACTGCAACCATCTGGGGAGTGAACCAGTGGATGGAAGACCTCTCTTTCCCTCTGCGTCTCTGTAACTCTGCTTTTCAAATAAAAAAAAAGTGCAGATATGTAGCCAGTATTGCTGAAATTCTCTGCTGTTGAGGACTTGTCATCCTAATTTCTTGCATGGTTTCCCTTTCTGCATTTGGAGAAGCTTGTTAAATGGCTCTAAATGTGGTAGGACCAGAAGATACATTCCTGGTTCCAACACCAGATGACCCAATTTTCCAACTGAAAATTCTTTGGCCAACTCAGAATTTTAATGAACACTAATAAACACCTAAACCTGTAGGAAATAACAAAAAAATTGGCATTTTATTTTTATTCCTATAAAAAAGGAGAGGAGTACCAAGAAAGCTCCATTCCCACGTGCAAAACGTTATGAGGAAAAAGGCATTGGCAAAGACCACCTAACAAGGTAACTCTAGAACACAGCGGTCGTGAACCCTGGAGGCAGAAACAAAGCCACAGGAAAAGTGAGTGCACTTGCTTTCATGTACTGTAACTGTTAATGCCAGTCTTAAAAGTGTGAGGTTTAACTCACTCTCCCAACCCCACCATGCAGCAGAACCAGTGGAGAACCTTCTACATAGTACAATGGATAAACATGGTCAGAAGATTAGGTTAATGCTAAAATGTTTTATTTTGCTCCCATGATTGTAAGCATGAGTCTTCTGAAGCCTTCAGAATGTAAACATCACAGCACTTCCCAACAGCCGACCACAGGGAACAGTTCATGAGCTGTGTGTATTTTACATTTCGTTAAATCTAAGAAGCCATCAACAGTAAGATACATCCTAATTCAGAGATGTCACCATGTGAAAAAACAGCTCTTAAGGACCAATAAAACATGGCAGCATCTGTCATGTATATGTGTGTGTATAAATCCTTCAAAAGTGAGTTATGAGAAACAAATATGTGAGTATATGCATTTATTCATTTGGGAATGAATGCATTTCTTTAAAGTTAACATTTTCAATTATTTAGTGTGTCGAAAAACGTCAGCACATTTGAGAACTATCGTAGCTAAACTCTTTATTACTGTTTTCTTACATGGAACAATAACCTGAACACATCTTCAACCAAATCATCCACAAACAGAAAACCTGTTATATAAATTATGTTCTATTTTTGTGACATAATCAGAATACTGTACTGGTGAAAATAAATAGATAACAAAAAGCTGCACACTGTATTCCCATGTTTGCCATCAGAGCCCACAAGTATGTTTGTCCTTGAACCTATCACAGAGTGAAAGGAGATGACACATAACAGGCACGCACATTACTACTGCCCAGGATCTCAGATTACACTTGCTGGAAGGCCTCCTTATGAAACGGGGACAGCACGCCACAGGCACACAGGAGAGTGGTTCTGCTCTGAGAACGGCTGGACTGCTGAGGCAGGAGCTTCTGCAGCTCTCTGGTGCCCTGGAGGCTGTGCCAGGTCACGGAGCACTGTGCACTCTGTGTCCCGACCACAGGGGAGGCTGTGCCAGGTCACGGAGCACTGCGCACTCTGTGTCCCCACCACAGGGGAGGCTGTGCCAGGTCACGGAGCACTGCGCACTCTGTGTCCCCACCACAGGGGAGGCTGTGCCAGGTCACGGAGCACTGTGCACTCTGTGTCCCGACCACAGGGGAGGCTGTGCCAGGTCATGGAGCACTGCGCACTCTGTGTCCCCACCACAGGGGAGGCTGAGAGGGGACAGCACACACCGAGCATCTCGCTCCGAGCAGGACGGAGCGGCGCGGACACTTTAACACGTCTTCAGGGTTCTGTAAATTGAGAGCTTCTTCGCTGTTGGTGTTCTACGGTCAGTGTCCGTTGGCTCCCTCTGAGAGTATCCGTGAAGGCTCCGTAAATTTGGCGGTGAATAAGTAAAAGAGGGCGGGTGCGGGCACCAAGGCCAGGAGGGGCAGATCTTGCTCAAGCTTCTCCACCCTGGAGATGGAGACTATTCCGTAGGCGTGCAGCAGCCAGTGGCTGAAGAGAACGAGGAGTCTTTTCTTCCTGACCAGAAGGTCGTAGCAGCTCTGCAGTTTTAAAGAAAGGAGAAACACAGATTATCAGGTAGAGTCAGCTGGATAACTGAATGCAGTCTCATGTAAAACGTATTTGTTGACACACACAATCCTAGGCTTACGATCAGACCGAGCTGCAAAGGCTGTCTCGGGCACCAGCCCAGCGACCGCCTCCTGCTGGTGAGGACACTGAGCCTCCCACAGTCACAGAGGCGCCCAGGGCTGCAGGGGACTCAGCCACAGCACCACACCGGGAAACGGACCGGGCAGGGTCCTGTGTCCCTGTTTCTCCCCGCCCTGATCCGCTGCGGCTCCGAGTCCGCAGGGGGAGCTCGGAGCTACACAAACCCAGCTTCCTTCCCTGCCTGGAGGGTGAGAGGGCGGCAGTGAGGAGACGTGGACGCGTCCCCTTCTCTTACTCGTTAATAAAGCTCCAAGCGGTGCAGAAAGTGGAAGGACCCAGCATCCGTCACCACCCGGCTCACCACCCAGAACTACTGTCCTCCGAGGCAGTCCCTGCTGATGCCTGGGGAGGGCGCTAACTGCACTATGTGGACAGAGAGAGCCACAGGCGCAGGGAAGTAGGCTGCCCGTTCACCTAGCAGCATCTAGTTAACTTCTACCTACACTCAGGACACTGAATCATTTCTCCCCTCAGATCTTCCCTTAGAGCTGGCAGAAGTGTCAAAACATAAAAGAGAAAAAAAGGGCAGTCTACCATTGGAAACAAAAGAATCCATTATAAAAATACCGCCGGTCCCTCTGATGTGACTCCACCTAAAAGTCACAGTGATCTCCAAGTTTTCTCTCATCTCTCTCTTTTTTTTTTTTTTTTTTTTTTTTTTTTTTTTTTTTTTACAGGCAGAGTGGACAGTGAGAGAGAGAGAGACAGAGAGAAAGGTCTTCCTTTACCTTTGGTTCACCCTCCAATGGCCGCCACTGATCCGAAGCCAGGAGCCAGGTGCTTCTCCTGGTCTCCCATGGGGTGCAGGGCCCAAGGACTTGGGCCATCCTCCACTGCACTCCCGGGCCACAGCAGAGAGCTGGCCTGGAAGAGGAGCAACCGGGACAGAATCTGGTGCCCTGACCGGGACTAGAACCCGGGGTGCCGGTGCCGCAGGCAGAGGATTAGCCTAGTGAGCTGCGGCGCCGGCCTCTCATCTCACTCTTAACACTAATGCAGTAGGAAAAGTGCCATCGCCAGCAGCCTCTCCATGGCAGGCAGCAGCCGACTCCTGGGCGGACCTCTGTGTCTAAGATTCACGAGAAAGCACAGGTCCCACCAGCTGTGCCGCCAGTGCAAGCCCTCTGTAGGCATCAGATTGGCAAGCGCAGAGCGGGAGAATACGAAGACACTTCACACTTGATCCCTTTAGTGTTTAGCTTCAAGATAAAGAATTCTTCCACCAGAGATATTACTGGAGTTAAAAGCAAGCATTTGAGGGACCGGTGCTGTGGCACAGTGGGTTAACACCCTGACCTGAAGTGCCGGCATCCCCTGTGGGTGCCGGTTCGAGACCCGGCTGCTCCACTTCTGATCCAGCTCTCTGTTAATGCATCTGGGAAAGCAGCAGAAGATGGCCTAAGTGCTTGGGCCCCTGCACCCATGTGGGAGACCCAGAAGAAGCTCCTGGCTTCTGCCTGGCCCAGCTCCAGCCATTGCGACCATTTGGGGAGTGAATCAACAGATCAGCGATCTCTCTCTCTGTCTCTCCTTGTCTTCTCTGTAACTCTGCCTTTCAAATAAATGAATAAATCCTTAAAGATAAATAAATAAATATGTGTGATGACATGATGTTCCTTTCACCAACCAACCGGAGTCAAAATTTTTCATCAAAAATATTTGAAAATAAAGACATTTAAATAACAAAACAACAAAATTAGAGATATTTATAGTAGTGACTTTCCACTGAAATACTCAAAAGTTGGAGACACGAAACAGATTTCTCAAAAAAACAAAACAAAAACAAAACCAGTATCGGAACTAATGCTGCTATTAATGTTATCGCAAATCACCAAAGTGCTACAGACACTATAGGCCAGCGCTAAACATCCAAAATCAAGCAAATAAGTCTGGGGTAAAACAGGAAATAGAATGCACAGCATGACTGCTGCCACTGTGAAATGAAACTGGAATTAGATCTGTATATAGGGCAGCATTGTTATGTTTCTCCGAAAATACTGTTAGTAAGTTTCCACTCTTCAGTACTTATGTATCTGCTGTGTGGTAAACACTGTGCAGTGATCTTTCTCCATCACGCTGGGCAGCTGAGCCTTCTTCACTACGTCACCAACTTCCCAAGGAAACACATGGTCCAAAATTCAGAACCTTCCGTAAACTTCATCAACTAAAAAGTACTTAGTACCACCCATTAGCCAACGATTACTAAACCTTATCATAGGTACTGTGCTATTCACCTGCCAAATTACCAAAACAAAAACAAAAACAAAACGCACTTTTAGACAAGAAGAAAGGCTTCCTACCTCTATTTCCGAAGCCGACATGTACGCAGCCAGGGTAACCAACGATAACACTAATATAATGAACGGGAAGGCGTAATCTGAAAGACAAGCATTGGTATCGTTAGATATTACACAGACTTTCTGAATAAACCATTAAGTAAATTCAAACAGTGTAATTCTCCCTAGAGCTGAATCCTTTCCCAAGCAGTCCTGTGCTAGCCCTGACGTCCCAGCATGCTGAGGCCGGCGTCAGCGAACTCTCCAGGCAAGAACCAGGTAAGAAATACTGTGGCCTTGCAGGCCAGTCTCCGCCTCAATCACCCAGCTCCAGCAACTGTACCTGGGAAACAGCCATGGAAAATACAGTCTGTTCCTGTACAGCTTTAGGAGAGCAAGGTCTGCGTTTCATGTAATTTTCATATGCCAAGACATGTGGGAAGCGTTCCATGATTTACAAATGAAAAACTACCCTTGGCTGACCTTTGAAGATTCTTGCCCAAGGCATCAGTGGATATCCAGAGTTGACTTCTTTCCTGTGTATCTAAAATGACACTGACTGAGTTATGGCCAAACTTGGGGAAATGGAGAGAACAGTCGCTCGTGGTTTTCTAGGAAGGCGTCTGGCCTGGCGTTCGACACTGACGGCCCGCGTCAGAGCCTGGGTTTGAGGCCCAGCTTCGTCCCAGAGCCCAGTGTCCTGCTCGCTTGTGACCGGGGAACCAGCGGTGATGGCTGAAGCAGTTGGGTCCCTGCTGCGCACACGGGAGACCCAGACTGAGTTCCTGGTTCCCAGCTCCAGCCAGGCCAAGGCTCAGCCTCGCAAGCGTCTGAGGGAGAGAACTAGCGGATGGGAGCGCTGCCTCCCAAATAAATCAGATTTCTTTTATAAATATAACAGCTCTGTACTTTCTGTGGTTCAAGTGGGGAACTTTGGTTGAGAGAGGCGATTGCTAAGAGTGACCGGGTTCACCCTCTAGAAGAGTTCACTTATCAAGAAACCTCAAGGAACAGTAGATCATTCAGTACTTTAGTATCAAGATTCTACAATTTCAAAAAAATTGTATAAATTTCTACTTCAAAATTCAGTAGTAACAGTTAAACAAAATACTTTTCTGCAAAGCACTACCTTTCTCTTGAAGCGTTTAAATCCACAGAATGTAAAACAAAGGGTGTTTCTCACAGCCAGTCTTCAACAGCTCAGTGTGTGAAGCTCCTGTCCCTCGCTGCAGCAGCCCCGCCTGGCGCAGTCCCCAGTGTCACTCAGGACGCAGTCAGACCGAGGCCCCTGCAGAGGCCGGACTCCAGCTTGCTGAGGGGCTGCATGCCTGGGCGTTCAGAACCTTTCCCATCACAGCCAGCGACTGAGCCCTCAGGCAGCCCCAGCCCAGAGCCCCACTCCCTCAGAAGGGGCCGTACGTGCTGTGAATGCAGACCGTAAGACCTTGCTGGTAAAAAGCCACAGGAGGGGCTGGTGCCATGGTGCACTAGGTTAATCTTCGCCTGCGGCGCCGGCATCCCATATGGTTGCTAGTTTGAGTCCCGGCTGCTCCTCTTCCAGTCCAGCTCTCTGTTGTGGACTGGGAGAGCAGTGGAAGATGGCTCAGGAGCTTGGGTCCCTGCACCCGCATGGGAGACCAGGAAGGAGCTTCCTGGCTTCAGATTGGTGCAGCTCTCGCCGTTGCGGCCAATTGGGGAGTGAACCAGCGATGGAAGACCTTTCTCTCTCTCTCTCTCACTGTCTGTAATTCTACCTCTCAAATAAATAAATAAAAATCTAAAAAAAAAAAAAAAAGCGCAGGAGGCAACAAGGAGGAGATGGGATGCTAGTGAGGCCCAGTCCAGGGGAGGAGGGGGAGGCACCGGGCCGGGGACGGGGAATCTGCATTTCAGCTCCCCGATGGCTCAGCTGCAGAGCACGTGAAACAGGCCTCAGGAACTATTCCAGGCTGGTCCGCTGGCTCTGCCATCTCCCTAATCATTCCAGTGTCTTCCCTCCTAGACCCTCGATCCCAACGCTTACCTGGTGGAAACTCCCTGCTGTCGCCCTCTGCTCGGATTTGCCGTGTCACTACGAACCAAAACTCATCTATTTTCCCTTTTCCAGGCTGCAAAATTACCAGTTGGTATGATACTCTCTGACTCATCTCAGCAGTCTGCAGTGAGACTTTATTTCAGGCAAACAGTAACAACGACCCGACCTATCAATGCCTTTCAGTGAAGGCTTTTTACAAAATGATCCAAAAACATTCTGTGTTGGAAAAGGTGTTTTTTTGTTTTTCCCCCAGTCTAGGCGGCTATGATGGGCTAGGACGCAGGACCGAGGGCTGCCAGTTCTTAATCCTTTCCTGCCTTGACGCACAGTCTCCCAGGCTCCAGATTAGTATAAATTCACTTCCCTCCCAACCTATTTGCTTCCTCCAGTTCTCACTGTTTATCCATCTACCAGCTGCTAAGTCAGAAAGCTCTTCATCAGACTTTTTTTTTAAAGACTTATTTATTTATTTGAAAGGCAGAGTTATAGACAGGTAGAGGCAGAAAGAGAGAGGTCTTCCATCTGCTGGTTCACTCCCCAAATGGCCGTAATGGCCAGAGCTGCGTCGATCCAAAGCCAGGAACTTCTTTGGGGTCTCCCATGTAGGTGCAGGGGCCCAATGACTTGGGCCATCCTCTGCTGCTTTCCCAGGCCATAGCAGAGAGCTGGATCGGAAGTGGAGCAGCTGGGACTTGAACTGGTGCCCATATGGGAGGCCGGTGCTGCAGACTGGGGCTTTAACCCGCTGCACCACAACGCCAGCTCCACATCATACTCTTGTCTCACTCCCTCAACCCTTCCATTTGATTTGTTAACTGAAAGTTGACTTAACTCTGCCTTTGGAAGAGCTCCTCATTCCCTGGGCTGCTTGGCCACTGGGCAGTCAGGCTTTGTGTTTCCTTACCTCTCTCTGAACTGATGATCCAGGCTTTCTTCCCCTGACAATCCATCTTCCACTCAAATGCAAATCTGATGACCTCACTCTTCTCCCAACATCCTCTGAAAGACTAGACTGGGAGCTGGTGGTGTGGCACAGCAGGTTAAGCTGCCACCAGTGGTGCCAGCATCCCACATGGCCAATGTATCCAGTCCTGACTGCTCCATTTCCAATCCAGCTCCCTGCTAATGTGCCTGGGGAAGCAGCGGCAGACGGCCCCAGTGCCTGGGCCCCTGCACCCACGTGGGAGACTTAGAAGAGGCTTCTGGCCCCTGGCTTTGGCCTAATCTAGTCTCAGCCCCAGCCATTGTGGCCCTCTGGGGAAATGAACCAGCAGATGGAAGCTTTCTCTTTCTCTCTGTGTAACTCTGCCTTTCAAGTAAATCAAGAAAAGAAAGGAAAAAAAAAAAAAAAAAAAAAAAAAGGAAAAGAAAAGAAAAGAAAAGAAAAGAAAGAGAAAGAAGGGGCCGGCACTGTGGCACAGTGGGTTAACACCCTGGCCTGAAGCGCTGGGATCCCATATGGGCACTGGTTGGAGACCCAGCTGCTTCTCTTCCGATCCAGCTCTCTGCTATGGCCTAGGAATGCAGTGGAAGATGGCCCAAGTCCTTGGGAGACCCGGAAGAAGCTCCTGGCTCCTCGCTTCAGATCAGTGCAGCTCCGGCCATTGCGGCCAGGCCTCTCCTGTCTCTGTGTAACTCTTTCAAATAAATAAATAAATCTTTAAAAAAGTTGAGCAGCTGGGACTTGAATAGTAGTCTCTATTCCCTACAGCAGGGGTGGGGAACCTTTCTCTGCGAAGGGCTATTTGCATATTTAATAACATCATTCCAGGGCCATACAAAATTATCAGCTTAAAAATCAGGCTGCTACTGATCTGTTGAATTTCAGGTCCCACCTGTGGTCGACTTATCAGGGCAGACCAAACGCTTTCATGGGCCTTGTACCACTCGGAGGCTGGGTGTTCCCCAATCCTTCCACAGAACAAGCACCGTCACCTCAAAGCCTACAAGAGGCCAGCAGCAGGTAGACTTCAAGTGAGCCAGATCTAAGAGGCGAGCTCCGACAGCTGACGGGAATTCCTCATTTTTCAATACCATGCCAGTCAAGTGGAAGTCTGTCTAAAAGCCGGTATTGGAGGAACACAGATCTCTGACTAGTCTCCAACATCCTCTTCCCCCGGCTCTGTCCTCGCTCTATCCTTGGCTCTATCCTTACCTGGAGCCAAGTTACATTCCCAAGCTCTATGACAAAACTGCATTTCCTACGTGTATTACCTGCATAATGACAGCCAGTCTGTGTCTAAAAGGTTTTCATAAAGGAACTTAGAAATCTAAGACCGAAGTTAAACAGCATAATCCATCAAGGCTAATTTTTATAAATTATGTATAGAAACTAGTTTTTATTTGTTATATTTAAATTAAAAAACCTCCCAATTTGGTCATAATCTTCAAATACAAGGTATTCTCTAAATCAATTTTGATTAGTTGCCACTGATCTCTTGAAAACTTCTACTTCATTCCAACAAGCCCATTTTAAAAGTAAGAATAGATGTCTCAACAAAAATCTATACTAATGTTCATTTTCAAGATTAAAAAAAAATTAAAGAGAAAGCTCCTGGGGTCAGAGTTGTGGCAGTGAGTTGAAAGCTACAACCTGCAATGCAGATATCCCATTTCAAAGCACCAGTTCAAGTCCTGACTGCCCCACTCCTCAGCCAGCTTGCTACTAATATGCCTGGGAAGGTAACAGAGGATGACCCAATATCTGCCATCCATTTGGGAGACCTGGATGGGGCTCTGGGCTCCTGGCTTCAGCTTGAACTAGCACTGTGTTGCATTTGGGGAGTGACCAGGAGATGGAAGATCTATCGCTCTCTCTTATCATTTTGCCTTTCAAATAAAAATAAATAAATCTTAAATAAAATAAAATAAAAACCGGGCTGGTGCTGTGGCACAGGGCGGGTTAAGCCACTGCCTGCAGCACCACATTCCATATGGCTGCTGCACTTCTGATCCAGTTTCCTGTAATGGCCTGGGAAAGCAGTGAAGATGGCCCAACTGCTTGGGCCCCTGTACCCAAAACATGGGAGACCTGAAAGAAGCTCCTGGCTCCTGGCTTTAGCCTGGCACAGCCCTGGCCATTGCAGCCATTTGGGGAGTGAACCAGTGGATGTAAGTTTTTTTTCCTGCTTTCTTTCTTTAATTCTGACTTTAAAATAAACAAACAAACAAATAAACCTTCCCAAATCAAGCTGAGCAGCAGTACTACTACACATGCGGACGATATATTTCATCGGCTTCACGCATCCACTTACATAACAGGCCTCCGCTGACCGCCTGCAGCACTGTGAGAATCGGGAAGTAGTACAGCTGGCGTAGATGCTCTTACACCGGTCAGACTTCCCTAACCCGCAGGCGATCTTCTTCACCAGCAGAGGGCGCAGCAGCATCATGAACACCAGGCAGAACGCATAGTAAATAAACACAATGGTGTATCTGAAATAGAGCAAGCAATTTGTAACATCAAACATACATCTGCAACCTTTCTCATCCTCAATCGTTTTTAAATCAAAGATCCTAAAAAAGGTTTCAAAAGAACATTGTTTACACACAGACTATCACAGGTGCAGCAGGCGTGCTCCGATGCCTGCGCTGGGCAGCTTACACACACGCACCAAAGATTCTGAAGTGTTCAAACCCTCTCACCCAACAGTTCAACTTGCAGTTCCTTATTAGAGGGAAACAATCACGGATACATAAAAACTTTATATGAATTTTTATTGAATCACCTTATAATAAGGAAAACTTGGGATGAAAATAAATATCCAACAATCGGAAACTGGTACATTTTAGAGTATACTCATGCTGGAATACTATATAGGCATTAACAATCTGGTTACGATTTGACCCACAGAACAGAGTAGGGAGCTCAGAAATAAACTCACACAGTTACAGCCATGTGATTTCTGACAAGAGTCCAAGAACACAATGGAGAAAGGGCACTGTTGGGACAACTGGATATCATGCAGAATAAGTTAGACCCTCACCTCCCACTACATACAAAAATCAACTCAAAAGGATAAAACTTTCAACATAAGACTTGAAAGTGTACAGCAGCTAGAAGTGAATGTTGGGGAAAACTCCATGACACTGGAGAAGGCAACAGTTTCTTACACGACTCCCAAGGCCCGGGCGACAAAGTGGAGAACAGACAAATGGGCTTACAGCAGACTAAACAGTTTCTATACAGCAAAGGGAACAACAAACAGAGTTAAGAGACAACCTAAGGAAAAAAGGAAATACTGCAAGCCAAGTATCTTATAAGGGGATAGCACCCCAAAATTATTTTATTTATTTCAGAGGCAGAGACACACACACAGAGAGATCTTCCATCCTTTGGTTCACTCCCCAAATGGCGACAACAGCCAGGGATGGGCCAGGCTGAAACCAGGAGCCTTAAATTCCCTCCCAGCCACATCTCAGTGCTGGTCCCTGGATATAATATTTTAAAATAAAACATTCTTATGGAAATATTTAATTGGAAAAAATAAAGATGAAGGAACACTTATCCAAGCACTCTAATAATGATGCCAGTTACTATTAAGTTCCTCTTGTTTGTAAGGCACAACATATGGTATCTAATATTGTGATTCATGTAGTCTCCACAGCACCTTGTAACATACCATGATTCCCACTTTACCAGTGGGAAAACTGAGGTTACAAGAGGCTCTTCACATGTTCAACTTGGCGTCACAGCTGGAAGACTAAGAGCTCTAACCCAGGCTGGTTTTGTTTACAAAGCCTGTATTCTTTCTTCTATGTTTCGTCTGTATTTCTTCTATTGCTTTTCAGGGGTGTATGAAAAAGGGTTTCCTTAAAGCTCTCCATTTAAACAATTCCAAGAAACATATAAAGTTCACTGTGGCAGTGTTTATACATAGTTCACCACCAACACAAAAATATCTTCGCTTCTTTTATACCAGTTGTGTTTCTATTACCACCTGTTACACTACGTTTGCATGCCTTGAGAGAAGAAAATAATTTCCACAATCTCCCCCAGTGCCTACAAGCCGTTTCACAAGGCCTGATCTGTTGAAATGAATGAAATCTATAATAATCCACCAAGTTAAACTAAAATGCCTCTCCGCCCCACAGATACCTATAGCAGGTAGACGGCTTCGTGGGTGCAGTGCACCGTGGTGACGTAGTCGGGGCTCGGGTTGTACAGCATCGTGTACCAGTCCGAAAGCATCAGCACGCGACAGGAACGGATGTTAAGAACCCCAACCGGGTCGCTCAGAAGCAGGGTGATGAGAGCCGCCATGGTGCATTCGAATAAGGCCGTGACGTGTTGGAAAAGCACACTGGAGCTAGAGGACTGGAAGCAAGAGAGGCCTGGCTACCAGGAACCGTGAGCTTCAAACGGCTTTAGTAAAACACCTCTGTGCTTTGACATACGGATTCCATACGAAGCCTCTTCTGACTGAAAAATCCCCAAACCAAAACATCTTCTAGAGATAACAAAAGCCAAGCATGAAAACTGTTCAAGAAGAGTGTAACCTTTTTTTCTAAAAAGAGACAAATACACACCCCAGGTAACAGGGTGCATTACCCAAATGGGTAACAGAGGAGCAGGAATTAGACCTTCCATTTTTAATATATGGCCAAATCGTTATTAAAAATTTCTTAAGGGCTGGTCAAGCAATGCCAGCATCCCACATGAGTGCCAGCTGGAGTCCCGGCTGCTCCACTTTCTGTCCAGCTCCCTGCTAAAGTGCCTGGGAAAGCAGTGGAAGACGGCCCGAGTGTCTGGGCCCCTGCACCCACAGGAGAGATCAGGATGGAGTTCCAGGCTCCTGGCTTTAACCTGGCGCAGCCCTGGACCTTGCGGCCATATGGAGAGTGAACCAGTAGATGGAAGCAAGCTCTCTCTGCCCCTCTAACTGTGCCTTTCAAGTAAGTAAATCTTTAAAAAAAATTCTTAAAGATAAAATTAAAAATAATTTAAAGTATGAAAAGCACACAAAAGGTGATAACATATAAGTTATAAAGCAAAATAACATAATAAACATTGTTTACTCACCACACCACCTTACCCAGTAACTTACACAGTCAACAACTTTTATGGGCTTCTGAGTTCCTCCCTAGTCTACACCCCTAAAAGTAACCATTATACCAGATCAGACTACATTATTACCACTTTTTCTGACATTCTTACCCCAACTGTATGTATGTTTCAGAATCACTGTTGAATTTGCCTTTTTTTTTTTTTAAGATTTTATTTATTTATTTGAGAGGTAGAGTTACAGACAGTGAGAGAGACAGAGAGAAAGGTCTTCCTTCCTTTGGTTCACCCCCCAAATGGCTGCAACAGCCGAAGCTGTGCTGATCCTAAGCCAGGCGCCAGGTGCTTCTCCTGATCTCCCATGAGGGTGCAGGGCCCAAGCACTTGGGAAATCCTCCACTGCCCTCCCAGGCCACAGCAGAGAGCTGGACTGGAAGAGGAGCAACCGGGACAGAATCAGGCGCCCCAACTGGGACTAGAACCCAGGGTGCCGGCGCCGCAGGTGGAGGATTAGCCTAGTGAGCCGTGGTGCTGGCCTATGATTCTTCATAGTATACATTTTCTCCTACTTTTTCAGTAATCTTGGTTAATCTTGGCCCTTTCATATAAATTTTAAAATCAGTTTGTCAAACATAAATCTGATGCAATTTAGCTACATTATAGTGTGGCAGAAGCCTTTGTTTTTTAATTGAACTTGTTTCTAACAGACACGATTGAAATTGTGGTAGAGGCCTTCCCCAGGTCAGAAGAAAAAGGGAGGCATCTGTCCTGGGACAGATACGCGGTTGTTATCTGCTTGCCCATCAGTGCCTCACCTGTAGTTCCCACCTGTTCACATGTAACCACTTCACGTTCTGCCCTCTTGTTCAGAGCCATGATGTCAACCCTTGCCAGACAGCATACTGTTCAGTATGCCCAACAAAAACCATCAGTAACTATGTCCCCACGCCCAGTACTGTATCAACTCCTGTGGCCACATGCAACATTAGAATATCCAATCAAATGTATGTATGTATAAGGGAGACGAAGAGGTTAAAACTATATATAAGGAAATACCCCTCTTTGTTTGGGGCTCAGGTTTTTGGATAAGAAGTTCCACCGTATGCCGGCACATTAAAAAGGCCTTGGTGTCTTGTCTCTGCACATGAATCCTGTGAAACAGTGCTTGTGGCTCTACAAATAGTTACTGGACAGTGACTCTTTAGTAAACTCTTCTACTTCTAGTGTCTAGTGGGTAGGTGCTTTGGGTCATCTGAATGCTTCCATTCAATGGTATGGAACCACCACCAGAGTACTTCTATTGTGGGGCTTGCATGGTTCAACGGGGCAGTCCTTTCCGCTCCACAGGGGACCATGTTGAAGTGCGATGTGCTGCGGCGTTCAACATGACCAACTCAAATGGTTCACAAGTGCTGGCTTCAGCAGTGAGCACAACTGGGCCTGCTAACAGGAGCACCTGCTTCTCCACGTGACCTCGTTTTCTGTGTTCTGCAGGTAACAATGATGTAAATAGGGAGAACTGTCGCTCCCCCTCTTCGCGGAGGAACGACACAGGACCCTGCGCTGTTCTTTTGTCTGCTCGGCCCTCCCCGGGTTTGCTGCTGGTTCTTCCCGGGTTGGCTACCGACCCTTCCACCTCCGTGGAAGGGCGGTTCCCCCTGCCACATTCCCCACTTCCGCGGGGGAGCGGCACACCGCCGGCCGGCTCTCTTGGGGGCTGCACAGGTGTTCCCTCAGATGTTCCCCTTAGATGTTCCTGGTGCATGTTGTCTCTCTCCTCCTTTATAGTCCTCTTCCACCAATCCCAACTCTGCTACCCACACGCCGAGTATGCTGCTCTCCTCCAATCAGGAGCAGGATCAGCTCCTGGAGGTCATCACTCAAGCTGGCGAGAGGCAGCTGCGTAGAAGTTGTTACTCCCTTCTCAGCGCCATATTGTGGGAGAGCAGATGCATAGAATAAGTCTTAATTCCAGTAACAGTCTAGTCCGGGTTGCTCCCCACAGAGAACTTTTTTTTTTTTTAAATTATGTTTGGGATATATTTTTCTTCCTGGATATATGAATCTCTTTTTCATTATTTTTATAAAACCTGAAGTCACTATCTCTGAAGCCTGCAACACCTCCACACCCACCGGATGGAGATCTCCTCCCCCTGCACCTGGGCTGGCTGCCTGAGAAGCTATTACTGACAGCAATGGCTCAGGCTGCCCTGCCAGCAAGCTGTGCTGTTTTTGAGCAGACAAGTGCTCCGTGTGGCCTCTGGCAATCTCCGGGGTCTGAATGTTTAACTGAATCTTGGTGGATTCTCAGTAGGTACTACAGATACACAGTACACGTATTCTATACCTCACATTATCTCCTATTTTTTATTTTCATCTCCTTTTTTCATCCCATGTTACAGTCCATTATTTCTTTTTTTTTTTTTAAGACTTACTTATTTATTAGAAAGAGTTGCAGAGAGAAGTAGACAGAGAGAGGTCTTCCATCCACTGATTTAGTCCTCAAATGGCTGCAACAGCTGGAGCTGAGTTGATTCAAATCCAGGAGCCAAAAGCATCCTTTGGTCTCCGATGTGGGTGCAGGGGCTCAAATACTTGGGCCATCCTCTGTTGCTTTCCCAGGTGCACTAGCAGGGAGCTGGATCCAAAGTGGAGCAGCCAGGACTCAAACCGGCACCCATACGGGATGCCAGCGCTACAGACTGGGGTTTTAACCTGCTATGCCACAGCACCAGCCCCATCCCTTATTTCCTTGTAAGGATTTTTTCCTACATCCCTAACTCTAACTTGAACTGTTTAACATATCGACTACCATATTTTTTGCAAGTACAACCTTAATTTCTTGAGATTCCTTACTTTTTCCCACCAAACCTGCTTACTCCGAACAATTTCTTGTTGAATGCCTTGTAGCTGTACCCTTTCATAAATAGTTAGTAGTCATTCATTCTGTAGCTGAAAGCCCATTATCTGTAGTCTTTTAGGAGCATAAATACATTGCTGTATCTATTAGTAAGTTAGGGAGCTGTTGAGTTGTGGGGAGCAACCCGGACTAGACTGAGTTACTGGAATTAAGACTTATTCTATGCATCTGCTCTCCCACAATATGGCGCTGGGAGAGGAGAAAACAGCTTCTACGCAGCTGCCTCCAGTTCAACCAATAAACTGTAGGACCTGCTCCTGATTGGAGGAGAGCAGTGTACTCGGCGTGTGGGCAGCCGAGTTAGGATTGGCGGAGGAGGACTATAAAGGAGGAGAGAGACGGCATTCACAAGGAACATCTAAGGGGAACATCTAAGGGAACACCTGTGCAGCCCCCGAGAGAGCCGGCCGGCGGTGTGCCGCTCCCCTGCGGAAGTGGGGAATGTGGCCAGGGGGAACTGCCCTTCCACGGAGGTGGAAGGGACAGTAGCCAAGCCGGGAAGAACCAGCAGCAAACCCGGGGAGGGCCGAGCAGACGAAAGAACAGCGCAGGGTTCAGTGTCGCTCCTCCACGAAAACGGGGAGCGACATTGAGTAATCACAGATTATGAGATAATTAACAGATCTTAAGGAGTAATAGCCTCAAAAGCCTAAAATGAGCGTGGGGAAACTTTCCAGTCCGGAGGGTTTGCTGTGTCTGCCACCAGCCACGGCTACCACTGCTTCCGACTTCAGTTCTGTGAAAGCCAACTCCAGCAGAGAACATCATTGCTGGGAGCGGGCTTTTCAGTCTAGTGGGTGAGACACTCGTGTGCCATGCTGGATTCCCGGCTCTGGTTCCTGACTCCAGCTGCTAATCCAGACCCTGGAAGCCACGCTGGCCCGGACTGTGTTCCCAGCTCCTGGTCACTGTGGGCATTTGGGGGTGAACCAGTGGATGGAGAATCTGCCTTTCTTTCTCTACTTGCCTCCCCCAAAATACAGATTTACAAAAAGAAAGACAGCCCTCCTGCGTTTAGTAGTTAACCTCCTGTTAACTACCTGTTAACTACTAGTTAACCACCACCACCACCACGCTTGGCTGGGCTGCATGTTTACATCCCACTACACTGCTACGGCTGAAATCCAACCCCCAGCGCCACAATGCAAGAGGCAGTGTGTTCAGGAGACGACTCATGAGGGTGGAGCCCGCATGAGTGGGGTTAGAGCCCTTGTAAAACAGGCCTGAGAGCGCATGTGCGCTCTGTCACGTGACCACACAGCAACAGGAAGGCCAAACCCTCCCCAGACGTCAACCGCATCAACACTGCCGGGCCTGGATCTCGGGGAATTTCCATCTCACTCGGGCTGGGAGTAGGACAGATCACCTGGTCTAAACTGTTCCGCTGCTGCTGTGGCCCCAGCTCAGGGTGGGCTTGTTTTTCAAAGAGGAGAGTTCTTAGAGAGCCCCCAACCTCCATACCATCAGCCATGTGTCAGAGTCTACTTTGCCAGATTTCAGTTATTTCTGGCAGGAGGGTCACTCAGAGCCCCGCATTCCCGCAGGACGTCAGAAGGCGAACTCCCGGCCGTCTGACAGAGATGAGGGTGGTTAGGAGGAGAAGTCCGGGCCGTCTGACAGAGACGAGGGTGGTTAGGAGGAGAAGCCCCGGCTGTCTGACAGAGACAAGGATGGTTAGGAGGAGAACTCCAGGCCGTCTGACAGAGACGAGGGTGGTTAGGAGGAGAACTCCGGGCCGTCTGACAGAGACGAGGGTGGTTAGGAGGAGAAGTCCGGGCCGTCTGACAGAGACGAGGACGGTTAGGAGGAGAAGTCCCGGCCGTCTGACAGAGATGAGATGGTTAGGAGGAGAAGCCCTGGCCGTCTGACAGAGACGAGGGTGGTTAGGAGGAGAAGTCCCGGCCGTCTGACAGAGATGAGATGGTTAGGAGAAGTCCGGGCCGTCTGACAGAGACGAGGACGGTCAGGAGGAGAAGCCCCGGCCGTCTGACAGAGACGAGGGTGGTTAGGAGGAGAAGCCCCGGCCGTCTGACAGAGATGAGGGTGGTTAGGAGGAGAACTCCGGGCCGTCTGACAGAGACGAGGGTGGTTAGGAGGAGAAGCCCCGGCCGTCTGACAGAGACGAGGACGGTAACTGCCTTGCTGTGTTGCCCGTGCTCTCCTTTGACCCCGCTGCGTGACCCTCACAGGCTGCAGGCTGACCATGGAGGCCCTGCTGGGGAATACTGAGTCTCCTCCGCCTCTCAGAGCAGCTCCCCTCACCAGCAGTGTCTCCCAGCAGTCCACATCACTCCATGTTCCTGGAGCCTCCGCATGTCGGGGCAGTTCTCACCTTCCACCCAGCCGCGGTTTACCGACCGGCAAACTGTGTCCACGATCGGCTCAGGGTGAGCTCCAGGTTCTGTGAACACTTCCTAGGACTGCTCCTGCTCCAATCTCAGGATGCCCTAACCTCATTTCACCCCGATTCACACACCACCCCCAGCTCAGACCATCCTCCCTGTGCATCCATGCTTGCCCGTCTTATTCCTGCTCAGAGAGCCTTTCAACTCCTCTGTTTAGTGAACTCTACTCATTTTTTCAATGTCCAACTACAGTCAGCTTTTTTCTTCCGGGGTGTGACTGGGGTATGACTCCATTCATGCCAGCATTAAAATTCTAAACGCACCATTAATATACCTCACATACATGGTGATGATCAGACTGGCATTCATAAAGCTCTGAGCACCGACATTTTAGCCACCTCTGAACCCTAGAGCCTACAACGCCACCGGTACATGGCAGGTTTCCCTGTCTACTGCTGAGTGAATGCATCCTAAAAGCCACAAATTGTATAAAAACCAGCATCACAGCTTCTGACTGCTCTGGGAGCTGCAATATAAAAATATGCAACGTCTGCCAATCCCTGCCTTTGTCTTAATGATAAACTAATACTAAACTCTGGAGAAGGCAAGGGTGCCAGAGAGGACGGTTTTCATTAACAATCAGCCATGCACTTTAAATAGGTAACATCTCCTCTAAGGAGGCAATATTAGCTCTTAGGGTGAACAAAAAAATCTTATAGTTTACATATTCAGGAAGCACAGACACATTTAGAGTACATATATAAGTAACAGTATAGCTGTGAAATGAACATTTCAATGATGGAGTAGGAAAAAAAATGGCTCCTTAAGGAGGTGATAATGAAAAATAAAGACTGAAAACTCGGGTCTAGCCTCAGACAGCCAAGTCCCCGTTTCTTGACCTTACGTGGGAAGTCTCAGGAAAATGCAGAGATGGCCCTCGTGTTCTTTGCTACCAATTTCCTAGTCAAATCTAACTACAAATGCCTGCTTTGTGCTTGTTAATTTTCATTTTATTTTGAAAGGCAGAGACACAGAGAGGGATCTTCCACCCACTGGTTCACTCCCCAGATGCTGCAACACCGAGGGCTGGGGTGGCTTGGATCAGGAGCCCAGCACTCAATCTGGGCCCCCATGCAGGAGGCAGGGACCCAAACACTTGAGTGATTATCTGCTGCCTCCCAGGGTGCGCGTCAGCAGAAAGCTGGAATGACATGCGGAGTTGAGGCTCAAAGCAGGTCCTCTGCAGGGAAAGCGGGCATCCCAAGTGGCATCTTGACTGCTGGGCCAAATGCTCACACCCCTCCTTTTGTTGTTTTTTAAAAGATTTATTTATTGACTTTAAAGGCAGAGAAACAGAGAGTTGGATCTTCCAACTGGTTTACTCCCCAAAAGCCCACAACAGCCAGGACTGGGGCAGGCTGAAGCCTGAAGGCAGGAACCCAGTCAGGTCTCCCACATGAGTGGCAGCAGCCCGAGTACCTGGGCCATCATCTGCTGTGTTCCCAGGTGCATTCGCAAGGCTCTGGGTCAGAAGTGGAGGAGCTGAGCTTAGACCAGGTACTGTCATGTGGGATGCTGGTGTTCCGAGCTATAGCTTAGCCTGCTGTCCACAGCACCTGCTCCTTCTCCCCCCCCTCCTCCCAGACCACACCACTCCTCCGTTCTACCCCTCTGCTTCATGTTTCTCCTCAAAACAAATCTAACATTACACTCAAGTGCATCTGGTGAGGTGTACCCATATACCCCTACTTCTCTCCTATGAGTAGAGAAGTCCCAAACAATTAACTGAGTCATTTTCTTTAAGTTAGATAAAGGGTAATTTTATTTTAGTTAAAAGTTTGTAACATCTCCTTTCTCTCATCTTTCATCATTCTGTATTAAAAATTAAATCAGGATGAGGACTGCTATTTTAAAAGTGCTTTTATAAATTCTTTTAGAAAAATGAATGATTTCCAATTATAAAACATTACCCTAGATCCAGAAAAACACCGATTCTATGCCCACCTGACCATCGTCTGCACACCCCAACACTGCAGTCTGGCCGTCATTTCCTGGACAAGAGTTTTCTAGTACCTCACCTCTACCGCCCTCCACAGAAACCATCTTCCTAACATGCACCCAGTGACGCTACTTTCCCAGCCCAGACCTTCATGAACTGACCACCGACCCAGCCGACACAGACTGTGGTCATGTGCCAGCTGCTGCTCGGGTCCCTGAGAGTCCACCGAGGACAATGAGAGATGCCACTGCCCCACAGAGCTCAAAGCCTGGCGTGTGAGGGACATTAAATGAGGAGACAATCATGAAAATAAAACAAACGAGAGAGCTGTCAAAAAAGAAAACGCGGGAGAGCGATCTCTGCAGGTTGGGTCGGTAAGGCCTCTCCCCAGCAGGTGCACTGGAGCTGGAGTCTGAGGAAGGCAGGCAGGTGGGAGGGTGCAGTGGGAGGACACGTACTCAGGCGGGGCAGTGAGCTCGTGGAGGCGGAAGGGAGCGCACAGAAAGCAGACAAGGTTCTGAGAAGTCCGAGGAAGTCAGGGAAAGCCGTGCGGCTGAAGGGTGCCGAGACAGAATCCACAGTTCCCTGATGCCCACAGTAAAGGTCACATCCTTACAAGAGCGTTCGCATTCCGGTCTGAATCTACTGTCCTCTCTCCCTCCTGTTACCTCCTTTCGCTGACTCACTCTGTGACAACCCAGATCAGACACCTCACACGCCCACACCGTGATTCGTGGGATTTCTCTGCCTACACTGTTCTTCCTGAGCTTTCCCAGATTCCACTGGGCACAATTTCTCTCTCCCCTCTTCGTGACTCCAGAGCACTCGTTTTTAACTTGGTCCCTATGTTTCTAGGACTGATTCATATTATAGCTATGTACACATCTGTCTCCTCTGCTTATGACCATACGCCTTGTCAGTCATTTCTGTGTCTCCTACCCCGATCTTCCAAACACAAAACACAGTGCTCAATAAATGTCTACTGACTTAATGTGCTAGCACAAGTTTTTACAACTAGGTTAAAGCTGGATCACTTTTAACAACATTATATTAGATGATTAATATTAAATTAAAAGGGGTTTTAGATCAAGATACAGCTTTGTAATCATAATGTTTTTGTAGAAAGCATTATGGTCGAGAAATTTAAAAATATTCTTTCAAGATCATTTATAATAAAGGATAGGGGCCGGCACTGTGGCACAGAGGGTTAAAGCCCCGGCCTGTAGTACCTGCATACCATATGCATGCTGGTTTGAGTCCCGGCTTCTCCACTTTGGATCCAGCTCCCTGCTAATGTGCCTGGGAAAGCGGTGGAGGATGACCCAAGTGCTTGGGCCTCTGCCCCCATGTGAAAGGCCAAGTGGATGCTCCTGGCTCCTGATCGGCACAGCTCTGGCCACTGCGGCCATCTGGAGAGTGAACCAGAGGATGGAAGACCTCTCTGTCTCTACCTCTCTGTTACTATTTCAAATAAATAAAATAAATCTTAAAAATAAAAACAAAGGATAGTTCCCTTAATAATTACTAAGACATGCTCTACTGTTGAGTCTTGCCACTATAAAAAGTAATCAGTATATAAAGGAAAAGTAGGTTAACTAACTTTTTAAACAACAGAGAAGCACAACTGCTTAATAAAGGGGCCAGTGCTGTGGCATACCGGGTAAAGCTGCCGCCTGCAGTGCTGGCATCCCATATGGGCACAGGTTTGAGTCCTGGCTGCTCCACTTCCAATCCAGCTCTCTGCTATGGCCTGGGAAAGCAGTGGAGGATGGCCCGAGTCCTTGGGTCCCTGCACCCTCGTGGGAGACCTGGAAGCTCCTGGCTCCTGGCTTTGGCCAGGGTGTAGCCATTTGGGGAGTGAACCGGCGGATGGAAGACCTCTCTCTCTCTCTCTCTGAATCTACCTCTCTCTGTAACTCTTTCAAGTAAATAAATTAAATCTTTAAAAAAAAAAAGTCTTGTAAGTGACAACTACTCTAGCACCAGTCCTGTGGACACTTCACAGAACGTGCTGACCTCTTCTTCCCCGAGTACCACTCAATGAAGAACCAGTGTAACACAAGAGGGAGCATGGCCATGAAGCCCAGGTAGAGCCAGTCGTACAGCTCCGGGGACTCCGTGCAGGGCTGACAGAGCTTCTGGGCGTCGGTCCTCTGTCCTCTTGGGCACACCTACAATGCACAGAGAGCAACCTTACATGCAGACACTCTGGACACTAACACCCGCCCCGAACCACGCTGTTAAACATCGCACTGCATCTTAAACATTTAAGTCTATGTTAGCTTTCAGAAATAAAGACTAAAGCATACATAAGACAAAAAGAAATCTACAGTGTTTGTGCTACAAAACGTTAAAGTAGAAAGTTATAAAACGTTAAAGTAGAAAGGATTCTTTTTACTTAGTTACCAAAATAGTTAACACTCAATGAAAAACCTAGCTACTAACATCATATAAAAATGATTTCCGAGAAATGTTCTGGATTACAATGTTAACTGAATGGACAATGGACAAGCCAGTGCACTAAATCCTTTTTAAATGTAATTAGAAATTACCATAAAATTATAAAAGGTTTTTAAAAACACTTAATAACTGACTCTCAAGGAAAGATGTATTACAGATATCAAGAGAACAATTCAAACAAGGACTTTATTAATGTCTCATTCTTATAAATTAATGAGTATATTTTAAAGAGATTTCACAAAACAAACAGACTTCACCAATGAAGTAACACACAAACACCAGACTCACCCCACATTCTCCATATATTTCAGTTGAGCCATTTTTAAATAACAGGGTCTTCCCGCAGTAAAGTCCAAGGCAGGCTGGTTGAATATCGACAGCTTTTTAAAAACAAATGCCAGTAGAGTGACATCTTTGTGATTAGAAAAGAATAATGCAGTAACAGCTGAGGCACTGGGCAGACACAGCTCATCACAGCTTCCTTGTAAGACGCGACATGGATTAGGCAAGAGCCTGGTGCATGTATTCCAGTGTGTGGCACTGCAGAAGGCAACCCTGGACTTCGTGCTGAGTGCACCCTGTGAGTAAGGTCCTGGACCAGCAGAGCAAGGCATCTCCAGACCTCACGGTCTAGCCTGGGCTCCACAGAGCCACTCACCTTGACTGGACTCCACTTAGGAACTTCACTGATCATAAACTTCCAAACTAAGCTTTCGAAAATGTGGACCCGACGGAAGGCGGCTGCTTGTTTTGTGCACACAGCACCTGTTCCCACCTTTGTGTGCAGGAGCACACGTGTTAACAGTACAAAGGCGAAAGGGTGTGATTCCAGAATCGAGGGCAGGCCTGGAGTAAACACACTCAGCTCTGAACAAAGCTCCACGCAATCTCAGGCTTGGGGAAAATAAAACAGCAGCTCCAGAGACCCTGCAGCTCGGCCGGGACCTCACCCGCGGGAGGAGCCAGGAGGGAGCGATGCTTAATCAGAGACCCATGCTCTTCACTTGCCGACCGTGCACTCAGTCCACACGCACAGCTAAGAGCCACTGGGGGCCAGGAGGAAACACCAGGGCCCCTGCTCTCCGGGAACGCGGTCAAGCGCGGTGTATATGTGAATTATTGTGGGACACTGTGCATTTCATGACTTCACAACCATTTCTCACATGCTTCCCAAACTCACCACCTAGAGACGCCTTTCTCCTTCCAGATTGAAGGAGACTGGAATTCAAACAGGGATAGCCCAGGTGCAAACGACTCAAGTTTAATATTCTCACTTTTACAAAATCTCTTAGTTTTCAGACCCATGGGCTTCCTCACTTTAATCTGCGCTTGCTTAACCCATTATAATCACCATGTTCTAGGCTCAGGCATGAGCACGAACTCTTTCACGCTTCTGGTGAGAGCAGAAGTTAAAGAATCCGCAGCTTTTCCTGCGGACTTTATTTACAAGATGCTTGCTAAATATGAGGGGTCTTCGAAAAATTCCCAGAAAACGTGCATTGTAAAAAAAACAGGTTTCAAAAATTTTTGCACCACAAGAAACGTGTCTTCTAACCCCAGTTTCCGCGAACTTCCTGATCTATCTTCCTACACTGGAATATAAATAATCCAAGGTCTCTCAAAGCCCAGGGTCTGAAAACCAGTGCAATAAACAAAGCAAGAGCCCATCACGTTCCAAAGGAAACTCCGGCTCCAAGCGCTCGCTGAGGCGGAGGACGGCGACGACTTTACGGCGCGACCGCCGAGCCTCCCCGGGAGGGACCTCCTAAACCCGCACCTGCGGCCGCGGCCGAACCCGGTCAACTCTGCAGCCAGCGGCGGCGGCGGCCTTTCCGGTCCGTTCGCACTACCGCCGTCCTCGGAGGAAACACAGCGGCCGAGGGCACACTTCCGACCGGACAGCCAGAGGCCCGGCCTCCCGTGGGCGGCCAACGCGCCAGGAGCAGCGACCACCCCGACCCCGGCAAGAGTCCGGGCCGGGAGGGCGGCAAGGGGCGAGCAGGCGCCGCGCCCAGCCCGCCCGGACCTGCCGCGCAGCCAAGAAGCCGCGGCGAAGACAGGCGCTCCCCCGACCCTCGGCGCCCCCTCACCCATGAGCCATTTATAGGCTTCCCTGGAGCCGCCCAGGAGTCAGCGGACGCGGCTGGAATGCCCCGACATCCGGGCCACAGCAGCCTCGGAGGCTCCGCCCCCGGTAACCTAGACGACCGCGCCGCAGCCCCACCCACTTCCTGGTCTCGGCCACGCCCCCTGAGGCTGCCACGCGTCCTGGCTCTTTGGGGGCCGTCGCTTGCTTAAAAAGCGAACGCTGGGGCGGGGCGGTGGTCGAGTTTCCGAACGCGGACGATGGAGGGCTCGCTGGCCGTGCCTCGCCTGCCCCCGCACGACCCGGGGACGCCGGCGCTGTCGGTGGTGGACATGCACACGGGCGGCGAGCCCCTGCGCATCGTGCTGGCCGGCTGTCCGGAGGTGGTCGGCCCCACGCTGCTGGCCAAGCGGCGCTACTTGCGCCAGCACCTTGACCACGTGCGGCGGCGGCTCGTGTGGGAGCCGCGGGGCCACCGGGACATGTATGGGGCCGTCCTGGTGCCGAGCGAGCTGCCCGACGCGCACCTGGGCGTCCTGTTCCTGCACAACGAGGGCTACAGCTCTATGTGCGGCCACGCCGTGCTGGCTCTGGGCCGCTTCGCGCTGGACTTCGGGCTGGTGCCAGCCCCGCCGCTCGGCGCCCGAGAGGCCCGCGTCAACATCCACTGCCCGTGTGGACTGGTGGCGGCCTTCGTGGCCTGCGAGGGCGGCCGCAGCCGCGGCCCTGTGCGCTTCCACAGCGTGCCGGCCTTCGTGCTGGCTGCAGGTAACGCGGCGCAAGCCGGGACGCAGGTGCCTGGGCTGCACCCCGCGCGGCGCCCTAACCCACCCAGCGTGCGCTTGCAGTTAATAAAAAGGCGCTTCGGAAACCGCACGCGTGTGACGGCGAACGGGGCGCGTGCCATTCTGCACATCCTCCCTCCCTCCGGGGCCCTGGGAAGGAAGGAATTTCTAGCTCGCTTGGCCCCGGGCTCCCTTCTGCGCCTCAGCAGCCCTGGCTCAGGCTTCACATTTGGGCAGAGCCCAGCAGGGTCTGGGAAGGGGCAGAGGACAGCGAGGGCACCAGGGGGCACCAGGGTCCCGGCTTGCCCCAGTGACACATTGTTACCACCCACAAGGCGCTGACACTGCCCCCTTTCCTCCTGGGTCGAAGTGCCGCCAGCAGCCGCTTGGAGAACCCTGCGCCCCGCAGTTTAGAAGATGGGGCTCTATCCGCACGGGCCATTGCCTGAGCTCAAATCCTGCTACCCCTGAAAGCTGTGCAACCGTACATCGATGATTTAGCCTCTCTGTGCCCATGTTGCTTCGCTTAGCTCACGGGGGTTGGGGTTCGTTTGAGAGATATGAGATAGTTATGATTTTTATGTGAGATATATAACCGGCATGGAAACACTGTGGGATGCTAGATGACTGGAGTTCTGTAGGCGCGTGGCGCCATGAGAAGACTGTGCGGTTCCCTGGTACAGATGCCCGTGTATCATGGAAACCTTGTGTAGGATCGGGAATCCGTACAAAGGGGCGATCCCTCACCGGGCTGGCCTCTGGTCTGGGTGTCTGAGACTCCCTGTACTGTCCCCAGGAAGGCTGCGCCCGAGAGCGTGCTGGGAGCTGACTGAGCAGGGCAGGCGCAGGGTTATCCCTTTTTCCCCTTAAAGTCTTCAGGCCCTGAACGTCATTCTGCGGAAAAGTTTGATCCTGAATCTCCGAGGACTTGGATTCCAGCATAGCTTTGTGTTGAAGGTCGCCCAGGCAGTTTTCAGCCTTAGAGCGAGGACAAGCAGCTGCAGGCAGCCTCTGGGCACGCTGATGCCGCGTCCCCCTTTAGGGAAGCCTGGTGACACGTCCACGGAGGGAGCAGGATTTATGCGTAGGACTGGATCTGAAACAGCTTGAACAGGTCAGAGAGCAGGGCTGCCTGAGTCCACCCCCTTCCCTCCCCACCCCCTCTTCTCTCCCCGGGCTTCCCCACAGCGGGTTATCAGCACTCTGGAGTTTGTGGGAAATGAGAGCTGGCAACAGGCTCACCAGCTACTGAGCCGGCCCCTGCAGCACAGCGGCCCCAAGACCTTCACTGTGTGACAGCACGAGTGGTCACTTGGAGTTAACTAACAGCATGCGCTCCCACCTCTCTACTTTGGAAAATGCATGGAAGGCAGAGTGATGGTGTCAAAGTCCCTGCTCTGCCCCTCCCCACGTGGATGACCTGGTGCAGGAAAGTCCACAGGCCAGAGTCACAGTTTGTAAAGAGAAGAGGACAACGGGACCCCCCCCCCCCCCCCCCGAGGGCTGCTGAGCTCATTTCCACCCCAGCAGGCTGAAAGGCAAACTCCTTTGTTTTGCTCCCTGTCCTCCCAGTGCCTACAACAGTGTGGGTGGTTAATGAGGATTTGTTGAATGAATAACTAAATGGAATTTGGAGAATATGTTGATTGGGAAATGTAGGTATGTAGTCCTCTTGAGAACCCTATTCCTATTGGAAATTAAGCATTTATTAACATTTATTGTGTCCCTTTTTTTTTGTGCCAGGTACTCCACACACATCATCACATGAATTTCTCAAAACGACCTAGGTACAGAAAATAGCAATTCCATTTCACACATGAGGACACCAAAGCCACACTAAGTGGCAGAAACAGGATCTGAACCTACGCCCATGAGTGAGCCTCACTCATCCTTGAATTTTTGTGGTTTAAAGAGATAGGTTTCAATTTTCTGGAAAACTCCACGCCATTCACTCTTATAGCGTCTTTTAAAATGTGTCTTCCTTGTGCACTTTGTTTTACCTCTGAAGGGGCAAAGCCTGTGTGTTATTCCTCCTGTACCTTTTACATCTTCCCGAGTAATTGGCACATGGGAGGTGCTTGCTAAAACCCAAATCAAATTAAACTCCCAGTGATAAGCTTGTGTAGAAGAAATGAAAACCCTGAGATTCGGGATTGAGTTCTGCAGAGAGGTTGCATGTTTCAGTGAAAAGAGTTTGGGTTTTGGAGTCACCCGGTTATGAGGTTGACTCCCAGCTCTGCCACTTACTCTGTGAGTGACTCTCCAGTACTTGAGGTGGTGCAAAATACAGTGCCCCCTCGCAAGGCTGTGGTCTTAAGGAGCTAATGCCGTGAGTAAAGGGGCCAGTGCATGTGACATACCTGGCACACAGGATGTGCTCGTGTGAAGCAAATATTTTAGAATATCTCTCCAATGTTAGTCATTTTAGTGGAAAAAAATAAAAAAGTTCGTGGGGCTGGCATTCTGGAACAGTGAGCTGAGCTGCTGTTTGTAGCACCAGCATCTCTTACTGAGGCGCTGGTTCTAGTCCCCTGTGCTCTGCTTTCTATACGTCTCCCTGCTAATGGCCTGGGAAGGTAGCGTGCTTGGGCCCCTGCAACCCACGTGGGAGACCCAGATAGAGTTCCTGGCTCCTGGCTTTGGCCTGGCCCAGCCTTAATGTCTGTGGCCATTTTGGGGAGTGAATCAGTGGATGGAAGATCTCTCTCTCTTATCACTCTGCCTTTCAAATAAAGAAATACATCTTTTAAAAATGAGGGGGAAAGAAAGTCATAGAACATAAATGGATGGAAGTAACTTTAAAAGACATATGGTTCATTTTAAAAAAGAGGAAGCAAATTTAGTGAGGTGTGGTATTCTACCCAATTGCCCATCCCAAGTAAGCCAGGCCCAGGGTTCCAGAAATGGTGAACCAGGGGAGCACTTGGAGGCTCAGCGACCACTTCTGCTGAGTCAGCTTCCCCACTGGATCCCAGATGTTTTCTTTTCATAACTTAATTTCTAGAGTTGAGCACCCACTTTGTCCTGTTGGTGGAATTAGCCACTTCTCTCCGCGCGCTGTCCCCTTCCTATATACAAGGGTGCTGCAAAAAGTTTGTGGAAAATTGAATCAAATGATGAGTTTATTTTGGAAAAAGTTTTGAAATCCACGCATAGTTCTATCATGATAGGCACCCTCCATACACTTGATGCAGACCACGCATATGTGTGAGCAAAGGTTTGTTAGCAGTGCAGGGCCTTGGGAGGAGGGTCCTTGGGTCCCCACTGCGCAGCTCACTGGCGGAGCAGAGCGTCGTCCGCCCGCCCCTCCTGGCTTGCTGCCTCTTCCTGTGCTGCACTGTCAGCACTGTCCCCTCTGCACTCTGCCCCTGCAGCCTCCCCTTCCCAGTCCGGAAGAATTCCTCCTGTCTCTAGGAGAAATATTTCTCCCTAAGGACACCCCTTTGCTGACACAGGTCTTCCCCCTGAGAGCACAGGTTTCTGTGAAACACAAACAGGAGGCCCTGCTTTCTCTCCTAGGCTATGCCCTTCATCCCGGGCACAGTCACCAAGCTAACTTGAACAGGAAGAGGGGTACAGAAGAAAATTCGAGAAGGGCTAGAGACAATTTTACTGCCCCCAAATATCACCCAGCCCCACTCTTTGGAAGTTCAATTTTGAGATTTCAGATAACTGACCTTAAGGGAAGCTTTGGGTATGCTGGGGTCTTAAAATGCTTAAGCAAGGACCCTGATGCAAAGCGATACCTCAGAGGGGAGTGATTTCCCCTGGCTTTGTTCAGTCGGCCTGCGGGATACCATCATGCGACGGAGAAGTTTGTGTTTATAGTTTATATAGCCAAGTTTCTCTTTTTAAAATACTTCTTTTGCCACTACAGCTAAGAAAAGTAGCTTGTGAATAGGCTGCCAAATCCTCACTGTTTCCAACCCTTCCAGTAGCGCAATGGGGACCTATGTTTCCTTCTTACTGCTCAAGGAGTGATGTCTCGGGTGTGCCCTCTCTAGGCCGCTAGGATATTTCCTAGAAAAAAGCCTTCAGGTAGTTAACAAGTGTGGACAGGTTCAGAACAAATGGAATCAAAGGTAAGTTTTTTGGTGTAAAAAAATTTTCAAAATCCATGCATGCAAGCAATCTTCAAAAATTTAGTGGAAAATGTGTATTATGAAAAAACTACATATTTTGCAATATATACATGTATTGTAGGGACAAATAATACATTTGGAGGTTTTATAACTTATGCAAACATCAAATTAAAATACAAAGATGCTCCTGGCTATTATTATTTTTAAGGTTTATTTATTTATTTGAAAGTCAGAGTTACACAGAGAGAGAAAGAAAGGCTGAGAGAGAGAGAGAGGCCTTTCATCTGCTGGTTCACTCCTCAATTGGCCACAATGGCCAGAGCTGCGCCGATCTGTAGCCAGGAGCCAGGAGCTTCTTCTGGGTCTCCCATGCGGATGCAGGGGCCCAAGGACTTGGGCCCTCTTTTACTGCTTTCCCAGGCCACAGCAGAGAGCTGGGTTGGAAGTAGAGCAGCTGGGACTTGAACCTGTACCCATATAGGATGCCGGCACTGCAGGTGCTGGGTTTACCTGCTATGCCACAGCGCCGCCCCCCTTAGCTATTATTTACCTGATGCTTACTCATTTTGAAAATGCATGTCTGCTTCCTTTTTAGTATAGGAAAAGCCCTCCCCACCCAATCCCTACTTCTGTGGATTAAACATATTGAACACGCTATGAATTTTGTTGCTAAAATATTAAAACCAAACTCATTTCCAAATACATCTTTTTTAGATCTCATGGTGGACGTTCCTGGACATGGAAAGGTGGTGGTGGATATCGCGTATGGTGGTGCATTTTATGCGTTGGTCAGTGCTGAAAAGTTAGGACTTGACGTGTGTTCTGCAAAGACAAGGGTGCTTGTGGACGCAGCAAGTGCAGTGACCCAAGCAGTGAAAGCTCAGGTCAGTACAGTGGCTGCCTTCATTATAAATGCTTTCCTCTGTGGCGTGAAGACATAAAGGCTATCCTGTCTATAAAGAAAGGCAAATATGTCTGTCACTCAGTAGTAGTATTAAGAATAGGGTACTGGCAGGTTGAGCCCTGCCTGAGGTGCCGACATCCCATGAGAGTGCTGGCTCGAGTCCCAGGTGCTCCACTTCTGATCCAGCTCCCTGCTAGAGCACCTGGGAAAGCAGTGGATGATGGCCGAATGCGTGGGTCCCTGTGCCCACGTGAGCAACCTGGAAGATGCTCTTGGCTCCTGGCTTCAGCCTGGCTCAGCCCTGACCATTGTGGCCATTTGGGGAGTGAACCAGTGGATGGAAGATCTCTCTCCCTCTCTCTTTCTCCTCCTCTCTTCAACTCTGCCTTTCAAATAAATAAATAAATAAATCTTAACCAAAAACAACTGAAGCTTTGAGTAAGACTACCTGTGAGTTCTACCTTGGCCAAACCTCCTTCATGTGTCTGTCTACCTATAAAATGGAAATTATGTAAATTACTAAGTGTCTGCTTTGTGGGTTTGGGTTGTGGTAAGAATAAAATAAGCCAATACATGTAAAGGGGCTTAGAGTATTATCTGGCCCATAATAAATGTTTAATAAGGGCATTAATAAATGACAGCTCTTATTAACTTTAATAGTACTTGTATAATAATATAGTTTATGGTTACTTAAACATATAGTAAATGTACCAGGGTACTTCAGAATGTGGAAAAATGGAATTAAAAGTTAAGTTTATTTTAGTGCAAAAAAAGGTAAAATCATATGTATGTGGGGTCTTCAAATGCATATTATGAGAAAACTACATATGGATTTAAAATGAACTTATCTTTTAAGTCCATTTTCCCATGAAGTTTTTAAAGTACCCTCATATTGTAAAGTATCCCACTAATTCGAAGTGGTTGTGCTTTCCTATGTGTGGTCATTCTCTCTGAAAACTTGAAAATAATGAATTTAGATATAGGTTACAAAATAAGAGTTCTTTAATCCGATAAGACTCTTATTTCACAGAGAACATTAATTCCTAATTCTTGAATGTTTTCTGTATTGCTAAGAAGCTATTCAAATAATTAGGTTTAGCTTGGAAAAGCTGATTTTTCCAAGTTTGTAATGAATGATAATATCAGTTTATAATAAATGGATCTAGAATATTCTTTCATTTCTGGCACAGTCTGCATATGACCTTGGAATTGGGACCTATAAAGAAAACACATACAGTATTTGAGTATCTTGGATATTAGTACTAAAAATAACATGAAAACTAGTATCTAACAATTATGGTACTGTGCTAATTACTGCACTAATAATTATTATGGGCCCATTTAACATTTTTGAGGGTTTAATCTAGCACAATTTATAACATAAATAGCAAAATTAAAATATATAGTAGTATTACTTTTCTAAATCATGCTTTTCCTGGGAGTGTCAGAAGAAATATGCGGAAGTATTTTATCATAGTATCTTCCAAATACACATCAGTTCTGCTCAAGGGGACAGCCAATAATTTAACCATTTGGCACAAAATAATTTCACTTGCTTTTTGGTGCAATCCAGAGAAAAGTCATAGTTTCTTTAATTAAAAGAGCACTTTTTTTTAAAGAGATTTTAATTTATTTGACAGGTAGAGTTACAGACAGTGAGAGAGAGAGAGACAGAGAGAAAGATCTCCCTTCTGTTGGTTCACTCCCCAGATGGCTGCAACGGCCAGAACTGTGCCGATCCGAAGCCAGGAGCCAGGAGCCTCCTCCAGCTCTCCCATGGGGGTGCAGGGGCCCAGGCACCTGGGCCATCCTCCACTGCCTTCCCAGGCCACAGCAGAGAGCTGGACTGGAAGAGGAGCAACCGGGACTAGAACCGGCGCCCATATGGGATGCCGGTGCTGCAGGTGGAAGATTAACCTAGTGTGCCATGGCGCCAGTCCCAAAAGAGCACTTTTGAGACAGTGGAACCACTTAGCCGATTGCAGGTGCAGACTGCTGCTGCTTTCTTGTAAACTTCGGGCTTACGGCCTCTCACCGACCTGTCTCCTCCATCGCTGGTAATACCTTCAGCTCTGGCCACTCCCACCTGATTCTCCACGTTCTCCCCTTCATGCTCCTCAGGATAGAGTACAGTGGCCTCCGCTCCGCAGCCTGTGGCCTGGGCATCAGGGCCAGTGCTCCTAAGAGCGTGTGTTTTGGAGATGTGTATAAAATAGCACGGTTCCTTAGTAAAGCCTGTGAGTAGGATGGCTCCGTGGAGGGGCTCAAAGCATCTGAGTCAAAGTATTGGTTTGGGATTGGGCACTGGGCCTAGCGGTTAAGATGCCAATTAAGATCCCTGCACCCCGTATCAGAGCGCCGAGGTTCGTACCCTGACTCCACCTGCTAATGCAGACCCTATGAAGCAGCAAGTGATGGCTCAAGTCACTGGTCCCGCCACACACAGGAGACCTGGATTAAGCTCCCGGCTCCTGGGTCCATCCCCCTCCTAGCCACTGCAGCAGGCATTTAGGGGGGTGAGCTCTCCCTTTCTCCCTGTCTCTCAATTTAAAAGAATCAGTTTCATGTGTGGCTGATAGTTTCTTTTTACTGTTTTCAGTTTAAAATTCACCACCCTGACAGTGAGGACCTTGCCTTCCTGTATGGAACTATATTAACAGATGGAAAAGATGCTTACACCGAGGACCCAACCACCAACCTCTGTGTGTTTGCAGATGAACAGGTACTAAAACTGTGATTTTAGGCACGAGAGGTAAGTCACGGGGTCCTGGAACGTGCTTGTTTCCTCTGGCACAGGTTGACAGGAGCCCTACTGGCTCGGGAGTGACAGCCCGGATTGCTCTGCAGTATCATAAAGGACTTCTGGGACTGAACCAAACCAGAGCCTTCAAAAGCAGTGCGACCGGCTCCGTGTTCACAGGGAGTGCCGTGCGGGTGAGTGACACCTTCAGTTCTGGGTTGCAGATGTGCTACTTAGGAGGCTGAATGGGCTGAGCTGCCTGCTGGGTTAAGTTTTCTCTCTCAGCTCTCAGAGGAGAATTTTAAAAGAGGCTCATAAAAAGTTCTGTTCAACTAGGACGCTGGTTCTCAAAGTGTGCTCTGTGGATCCCATGGGGGTCACCAAAGTCATTTCTATACACCCCCAAGGTCAAAACTATGTTCATAAGAAAACTAAGACATTGGGCCGGTGTTGTGGCATAGCAGGTAAAGGCGCACTTGCAACACTGGCATCCCATATGGGTGCCGGTTTGAGTCCTGGTTGCTCCATTTCTGATCCAGCTCCTTGCTAATGTGCCTGGGAAAGCAGTGGAAGATGGTCCAAGTCCTTGGGCCCCTGCCACTCATGTGGGAGATCCAAATGAAGCTCCTGGCTTCGGCCTGGCCCAGCCCCAGCCATTGTGGCCATTTGGGAAGTGAACCAGCAGGTAGAAGATCTCGATATCTCTGTCTGTCTCTCTCTCTTTCTCTACCTATGCCTTTTAAATAAATAATTTTTTTAAAAAAAGAAGTAAAACAATGCCACTTTTTAAATTGTTTTTGCTTGTTTTGACAAATACAAGGGGTTTTCAAACAGTTCATGGAAAATGCATGTTGTGGGGAAAAAAGCTATCCAAAGATTCTAGAAAAAACTTGCATCAAAATAAGCTTATATGAGTCTCTTGGACTGACACTGTATTGACCTACATTATGTTGCTGTTAGCCAAAGCAGAGGTTCCACGAGGCTTTATGTTACAGCAGCTTTGTAATAAGGCTTTCCTAAAAATGTCAGATTTGACATTAGAAAATCAGACACACTGCAGTTGAGACTTGCGGTTATTTATTTTACAGTTATTAATCATGCTTACCAGAATATGAAGGACTAAAGAAGGTTTATGGAAAATGGAATTAAAATGTTTATTTTGGTATACAGATTTTTGAAGTCCATGCATAACTTTTCCGTAATATACTCTTCCCACGGACTCTTTGAAGACCCCTTGAGTTCTCTCTTGCACCTTCCTGCCTCTGTCTGGCTCTGCCAGCCTGTCTGAAGGTAACGTCTCAGTCTCCATCCCAGCCCAGCCGTCTTTCCCGTCCTTGTATCTCGTTACCTCCAACATTTCGTCCTCAGCTTCCTTCTCATCTGCAGTGCACGCCTTCGGGAGCAGTTTCTTCCACTTCTTAGACTTCCAATTCTCAACCCTCTGCTGCTGCCGACCCAGATTTTCACCTCCAGCCCCTTCTCTCCCCCAATCTACCACTCATTCCTAGCTGTTCACCTTACTCATCTCAATGACTGTCCCAGAAGTGTCTCAAACTCAACTCGCTAAAAGTTCTGCCTTCCTAAAATGTCCTTCGTCCACCTCTCTCATTCCTTAGCTTGGGTAATGGCATCAGTTAGAGTAACTTGCACACTAGAAATCTACAGTCACGTAACTCACTGCCATACCTTATTGCTCATGCATGGCAGGCAACAGTCTTTCAATTCTCCCTCCAAAGTAGCTGTTATCGGCTAGCTTTCTTGAGAATTTTAATATTAATTTTGAGGGTCCTTGCTGTCTATTCAGATAAGAATTCTGAATATCAGCTCAAATTAAACAGGCGACGTGGTAAGGTTTTAACATTGATTTAGAGAGAGAAATACACAGGAAAGTGAAGGCTTTATAAGGGAGAAGGAGCTTAGACGTTTACCAGGCTTTTCCAGGGTGTAGACCGGTGGCTGCCAGGTAGAGAGAGCATGTGGGCAGGAGAGCGCATGGGCCACACAGGCAAGCAGGCATCAGGGATGGCCCAGAGGCCAGAGTGAACAAGAGAGAGGCTCCAGGCCTTTTAGTCACTTCCAAAGGGGAGTGGTCAGTAGTCTGATGGGCAGGTGGGCATACAGGTGAGGTCATGAAAGGGGCAGGGCGGAGGCGTGGTCTTCCAGCTCATGAGTCTAATCCCTCTGACCTTTCTGCCTGCCTATATCAGTATGCTCTCCTTCTGTGTCTTCACTGACAACTACCCCAGTGACTGCCTTCGCCTGAGGAATTAAGGTGACTCTAACAGGTTTCTGGGCTCCTGGGCTTGTCTCCAGTCTGCCCCACTTTACAGCAAAGCCTACCCAAAGCATGAGTCTGACCAGGTCCCTCTCCTTCCAACCTTCATTGCCCATAGGATTAACTCCTGGGTTTTCTTTAGCATGCTGGAAATCGAAGGTACAACTTTAAAAGCAGACACATATGAATGCAGTATTTTGATAACAGACTCCTTTCATCCCCCCCCCCCCCCCAGGAAGCCACGTGTGGAGACTTCAAAGCCGTTATAGTGGAAGTATCCGGACAAGCCCACTACACGGGGACTGCAAGCCTTATAATAGAAGAAGATGACCCACTGAGGGATGGCTTTCTTCTCAAGTGACTTCTTCCATGACACTTCAGGGCTTTCTTTTAAAAGTAATTGTTGTAGCATGTTCTCTAAATTACAACGATTCTTCAAGAGGTTTGTGGAAAATGGAATTAAAATACAAGTTCTGAAATCCAGCATGAGGGGTCTTCAAAAAGTTCACAAAAATACATATTGTGAAAAAGCTATGCCTTGTTTTGAAAATTTTTGTATCAAATAAACGTCTTTTTTCCATTTCCCACAAACTTATTAAAGAACCCTTATATGTGAAACCAATGTCCAAATGATATACCTGTTAATTTCCATTCTTTCTAAAATAGTACACCTTGCCTAAATATGGTCATTATCTTCCTGTTTGCAAACATATAGCAGCATAAACATTGCTTATATCTAGCATACAAAATGCCAACAATTCAGAATACTTTCCTAATTAATATATCAGATAAAGCCTGTTACTTTTAAAATATTACTCTGTGGTAAATACTGTAATATCTCATCTTAGAGGCTCTTTGAAATTGTAGCCCTCCCAACATTGAACATTTTTTTTTCTTGAAAGAGTTACACACAGAGAGAAGGAGAGGCAGAAAGAGAGAGAGAGGTCTTCCATCTACTGGTTCAGTCCCTAATTGGCCGCAGTGGCTGGAGCTGCACCCATCCGAAGCCAGGAGCCAGGTCTCCCACGTGGGTGCAGGGACCCAAGGACTTGGGCCATCTTCTACTGCTTTCCCAGGCCATAGCAGAGAGCTAGATTGGAAGTGGAGCACCCAGGCCTCGAACTGGTGCCCATATGGGATGCTGGCACTGCAGGTGGCGGCCTAACCCGCTACACCACAGTGCAAGCTGGGAGGGGCAGTCTTAACAGAGCCTTTTCCAATTTGTTTTTGTCAAAACCTAAATCCCGTCAGTTTGCAAATATTTGTTGGAATGGGCTTCCGTCCTGTTTTGTTGAGTGCTGAGTGTGGGATGCGCGTTAGGCTAGCCTGCTTCTAGTGCCAGGCTCCTCAGTAAGTTCTGGCCATGCAAAAAAAGCTGAACAGTGGGAGACTGGTAATACTTAGATAACCACAAAACACAGGCAGTGGTTATATGCTACTAGTGGAAAAACCGGTGAACGTGATCCAGTGTGTGTATTGTGGGGCTGGGGGCAGGGGGTCAGCCATGGAAGATTCCCCCCGAGGGACCAATCTTCATGGGGATCTAGGAGGGGGACAGGGGGTCAGCCATGGACGACTGTCCCGAGGGACCAACCTTCACGGGGATCTAGGAGGGGGACAGGGGGTCAGCCATAGACGACTGCCCCCTGAGGGACCAACTTTCATGGGGAGCTGAGGTGGGGGGGGGGCAGGGGCAGGCCACAGAGCTCTCTAAGTGCTGATGCCCTAAGGTGAGACGTTTAAAGAACTCCAAAAGGCCAGTGTGACTACAGGGGACTGAAGAAGAAGCCAAGTGGTCCCAGATGCGGCTAGAGTGGCCACCGCCTGAAACCTGAGCCACAACTTCACTGGACGGTGACGCCTTCTTTTCCTGTCCCGGGGTCTCCGCTCCTGGTGTCTGGGGCTGCGCCGCGGTGACTGCCTGGCACGCTGCACCTTAGTCTCAAAACCTGCCCCATTCCAGAGCGCAGATGCAGGACGCCCTCAGGGCACGAGACCAGTCCCCGGCCCAGGCCCCTCACCTGCTCCTAGCAGCCTGCCGCCCGGGGCCCTTGGAAAGCAGGTGACTCCCACCTCCGAATTCCACAGCGGGGCTCCTCAGAGCAGATGCAGGGGACGCAGGAGCCCATTCGCAATAATTCGGGGCGAGGGGCGGGGGTCACTCCTCCCAGAGTCCTCACCAGGACTTCCGCCCCGGCGCTGGCCCCGCTGCTCATCTTCCTGGGCAGCAGCGCCGTGTGTGGGGGGTGATCCTGAAGCACCCGCAGCTCCGCGCCTTCCTCCTGTCGCTGTGCCCGCCCGCCGTCTTTCTGGACCCTCTCACGCCGCCCCCGGGGGCCAGTGGCGCAGCTTCAGCGTGGTGGCCCCACGTTCAGTGTGGCGCTCATTTTGCTAGACCGCTGCTGCCCCATTGTGCGGCCGCCGCGGGACCAGATCGGCCTTAGCTTCGCGCTGCGGCTGCAAGCCGGTGGGAGCTGAGCCCTGCATCCTGCGGCGGCGGTGGCCCAGGGCTTCCGCAGCTGCCTCTACCGCACCTCCGCGGACCGCAGCGCAGCCTCGAGCGGCCTACAGCCTGGGGCGGTGACCACCTATGCGCGCTTGCTGCCCTTCTTCAGCAGGTGCGCAGGGCCACCACCATGCTCATCATGTCTTTGTCATCTGCTGCTGGGGACCCTGGTGCTGCTGGCCACAACCTGCCAGGCCCAGACCGTGCAGGTGCCCTCGGCTGACCTGGGCCAACGTGGTGGCTGTCTGGCTGACTTGGGCCAACAGGGCCAGCAACACTGTCATCTGTGCCATCTGCAACCCCGACATTTCCATGCTGCTGGTGTGGGAAAGCTTAGATAACTTAAATTCATGAGCTGGAAGCCGCACCTCCCTCAGTGTTGCCATGTCCCTGTCAATCAACTGAACCCTCCCCGAAAGTACTTCCTTTCACCCCGGACGTGGGGGTGGTGCCATGTAAACACTTTCAGTTTTTTTTTTAGATCATCAAAAGCCAGGTAGAAGGGAAACTCACTCTCTCCCTCATGCACTCAGGAAGAGCAGAGCAGGCTTCAGAAATTCCGCGTTCCCTTCCCTGGCCCCCTCTCCCTAAGCCCTTGTGTCTTTCTTACTTTGTAAATAAAACTTACCCTACTGCACGTCCTATTTGTGCGTGTACTTTGAAGCAAAAGATGACAAGTCTGGAAAATTAATTCAGTCTCAACCCGTCCCCTAACCCCCAGGTGCAGCCGCAAGGAAGGCTACTGGACTAGGAATGTGGACGCTCTCCTGCCCAGTCAGGGCCTCAATCCACTGGCTGGGAGCCGCCAGCACCTTCCACACCACTGTGGTAAGCGGCTGGCCACTTGCAGTAGAATGGCCTTTTCCAACCCGGCCATCGGCCATCGGGGCTGGAGAGGATGTGGCCATGTGGGCTTGGAAAAACCCAGTTGTGCTTTTCTGCCATGAGGGGCCCCCAGAGCCTGTCACAACGCTGGCCAAACCCATAAGCTGAAAGCCAGGGATACCAGGAAGGCCTGGGATGGGAGCATGTGAACACAGATTTCCACCTGTTTCATTGAATGATATAGGACTCCGGGGAGAATCGTGGGATTCCATAAAGCCGACATTTTATTTTTTAAATTATTTTTAAATGATTCTAAGTATTTTATTAGTTTATGATGTATCTGAATTTTGGATGGCTGACCTCCATTTCTCAGTCTTTCTATAGTTTCTTTTTTTTTAAAGGTTTTTATTTAATGAATACAAATTTCATATGTACAGCTTTTAGGAATATAGTGGTTCTTCCCCCCCATTCCCACCCTCCCACCCCCACTTCCATCCCACCTCCTACTCTCTCTCCCATCCCATTCTTCATTAAGATTCATTTAGTATAGACCAACTCTATACTAAATAAATATTTCAACAGTTTGCACCCACCCACCCACCCACACAAAGTATAAAGTATTGTTTGAAGACTAGTTTTACTGTTAATTGTCATAGTACAACTCATTAAGGACAGAGGTCCTACATGGGAGCAAGTGCACAGTGACTCCTGTTGTTGATTTAACAATTGACACTCTTATTTATGACAACAGTGGTCACCCAAGGCTCTTGTCATTAGCTGCCAAGGCCATGGAACCCATTTGAGTCCAAAAACTCTGACTTTATTTAGACAAGGCCATAATCAAAGCGGAAGTTCTCACCTCCCTTCAGAGAAGGTACCTCCTGCTTTGATGGTCCCTTCTTTACACTGCGATCTCACTCACAGAGATCTTTCATGTAGAACATTTTTTTTGCGACAGTGTCTTCGCTTTCCACGCCTGAAATGCTCTCATGGGCTTTTTAGCCAGATCTGAATGTGCAGCTTTAATCTTACTTTAACCTGCTATTTTTATTTCTGACTGTTTTGGGGATGCCAATCAGAATGCTTTTGCATTTTGAAAAAGTGACATTCAAAGCAGAAAAGAAAAATCTGCCGTTTGAGGTAAGTTTTATTGTTGGCTACAGTCAAAAATGTTCTTTCAAAGTCAAACTGAATAAGGTGAGTGAGTGTCACTTTCTTTTCTACTGAAAGAGAGAGAACTCTGTCAAACAACAGTACGGCTGGCTCCCCATGTGGCTTCTGATTAACTGAGGATGATTCCAAAGGACAGGTCTAAATGTATTTTGAGACCAGGCCACCATTCTTGGATGACTGCAGAACTTTCACAGAGAATCGTACTCTCCTACATTTGGAAGCAAGGTGATCTTGTTGGCAAAGAAAATAGATGATTGTTGCTTTATAGACGTTTTGAAACAATGCAGTCTTTTCAAAAAATGTATTAATTTATTTGAAAGTCAGTTAACAGAGAGAGGAGAGGGAGAGAGAGAGTTCTTCCATCCACTGGCTCACTTCCCAGTTGGCCGCAATGGCCTGGAGCTGTGGTGATCCGAAGCCAGGAGCGAGGAGCCTCCTCTGGGCCCCCAGATGCGGGTGCAGGGGCCCAAGGACTTGGGTCATTTTCTACTACTTTTCCAGGCCGTAACAGAGAGCTGGATTGCAAGTGGAGCAGCCAGGACTCAAACTGACATCCATATGGGATGCCAGCACTGAAAGTGGTGGCTTTACCAGCTACATCACAGCACTGGCCCCACAATGTAGTCTTTGTCAGAAAAGGGGAATATGTGTGGTATTATTACATGTAATAGGGCATCAAAAAAACAGGCATAATTCCAGAAAAATACTCAACCAAACTAAAAGTAACTTTGGAAATGTGTAAGACAAAAATGTTTTTTACATTAATTTAAAAGCACAATTCAGGATTTGCATACGTGAAATTTCTCATATCGGATGCCACTATAAACAGAATCATCTACTGAGAACTTTGAAAGATGTTTTGTGTGTTCTCCCCTCTTCCTGTCCCTCCTGCTCCCTATCTTTTTAAGCTAGTTATGAAAGGATGTCAGCTATCATATGAAAATTTCATTGTGAAATAGGCAGCAATATTTTCCTGTTATAGGTTTAAAGAAGTGTACTTTTTGGCATTGTGAGAAAACAGGAAGTCATTTACGCGATTTAGCGAGATATTTAGATATTCCATTGTGGTGCAGTGGGTTAAACTGCCGCTTTGAACACCAGTATCCCATATGAGATCAAGTCCTGCCTGTGCTTTTGATTAAGCTTCCTGCTAATGTACACCCTGGGCCACAGCAGGTGATCGGAGCAAATGCTTGAGTCCTGTCATGTGGGAGCCCCAGATGGCATTCCTGTCTCCTGGATTTGACATGGTCCAGCCCTGGCTATTGCAGACATTTGGGGAGTGAACTAGCAAGGAGATGAAAGAATTTC